TTTTATGGAAGGGAAATAGGCTGTTCTGTGCCAGGTATACTCAGGTTTGAGCTGATCTGCTGACTTTTCAAGAAAATTGAAAAATCTGATATAATTTTTAACAGTACTGATTCAGGCAATAATAATTCAATTCTTTAAATAAAATGTTTCAGCGATGAACATTTTTGTTAAGTAATGAACATTTTTGTTGGTTGACTAAAATTATTTGCTTGTACACTAATTTTTTCGCCTAATTATGTACATACAGCACCTTTTTAGTTGTCATCCTGAATTTCTAAATGAAGAAAAAAAGCTCAGACATTAGAAAAAGCATTGCCCTTACTTGTGTTTCCGTCGGATTAAGCATTCGATCGATCCCAGCTGCTAATTGGAGTGCAGGATTCAATGCACGTGACTGAAAATGAATATAAATTGCAATTTATTTGATATCAATTTATGACGCATTATACATCACGTCATACATGGCATTGCATGGAAAATAAAGAATTTCTTTGTATTTTTTGGCATTCCAGTAAGACTTTTGTCTTTGAACTTCCAGCACCTTCTCAAGCTCTACTTTTGGCTCCGGTGATTCTGTGCCACTTTCAATGGCGAAACTTTTCCTCTGATTTATTCAGCAAAAATTAAACCTCTTATGAAAGAGCGTCAAATTGCTGAAAAGCACTCAAGTTCTAAATGATTGGGAAAAAATTGCCCTAATTTGAAATTCTGGAACATGTTTTTTTTCTGAAGGCCAAAATTTAAAGTTGATTTAAGGTAAGCTGTAATAAAGAATTACAAAAGGAGGCGAAAAAGGTGAAACATCCCAAAATACAACACATCATTCAGCTGTGGGGTTCAGCTGGGGATTTCCTTAAGGAAATCTCAAAAGATAAAATATAATTGCCTTTCTTTACCCCAAATTAATTCACAGATCACAAGAGATTTGAATCACACAATCAAAGTAACAGATTGATTTCACATAGAAAATCAGATACACAGGTAGAATGAAATTCACACATAACACAGGTAAAAGTGGGGAGATTGTTGAGATCAATGTTTATCTTGTAACCATTGGTGCCAGACTGTCTTGGATCTTGGGGGGAGAGTACTTTCCTCCCTTCCAAGAATCCACGGGCACACCTGATTGGCTGAAAGCCACAGGTGACTAATTCTAGTACGCAATAAATGTAGACTGCCATCTAACGGCAGTCCAATTGGAATATTCTCAAAACTTCTACAACATTCTTGATTACTTGAGAGAATTAAAAGTGCGTGACGTCATGGGCAGTCTAATTATTCTGTCACATAAGCTAACAATAAGGCATGTTATATGATATGCGTAAAAAATAAAGTAAAATTTGGAGAGTTTGCAATAAAATTTGCTTCCTTCTCTGGCCAATATATCCATTCTAACAAAGAAATATTTCTAATAACAGTCACACTCAATTCTCATTTGAAATATATTTTATCATGGATTGATCTCAGAAAAATATACATGGAATGAATGGAAGGGGGTCATATCATGACTTGATAAAATTAATGGAATCCAGCCATTTTTCCAAATACATCAAGATTTTCATGGACTTACTGTATGTTAGTTTGAGAGTGCCAAATTTATAAGAGGATTTGGTGAAAGAGAATACAGTGAAATCTTGTTACAAAAAATACCATTGCAACACATTTTTTAGTATAACTGACTTTTTTTTAAGTCCTTGCAGAAATTGTATAGGGTACATGCTATCAAAATCTCATTGCAACAAACTTGCCAATTCCAGTATAACAGTGTAAAAATCCCAAATGAGGGCAGGCACAGTCTCACATTTCCCATTCAAAATGTGACCACAACTGGTTCTTGGAATATATATAAGGTGCTATGGAATCAAGGACAAAAATTCTTCAAAATCAACCTGAAAATCCTCTCTTTCAAAAATTTTTCTCAGGTTAGGAATGATGGTGGTGGGGCATTTTGATGAAAAAAATGAACCCAGCAAAACTCATGTTAAAAAGGAATATGCTTGAGAAACCCATCAAAATAACAAATCTTTGCAGGAATTGCTTAGAAAAATGGAAGAGTCAAGAGCAATGCTGGTGTTCACCTTTTATTAAGAGTAAATATTTTTTTCTTATCAACAATTAAATCTCTTCAGGTTTTGAAGACAACTGTAAAATGTGCATAAAGGTCTTGACTCACAGTAAAATCTGACTGGTTCTGACTCGGGTTCTCGTTGGGGCCAGCAGCTGGAAAGGCGATCCCACCGGTCCAGAGATGGCAGAGTAATAAAATCCCAGACAAAATGTAACCCGTCGTCATTTTCCTTTGGTTATTTCCTGAACGACTGAATGTCCTGGTTTTTTTGCGGGCCTTTTCATGCCTCGGAACCAGTTCCTGCTCGTGTTCCTCTGAGGAAAATTGACAAATGTTTTTGAGAAAAATGACGAGGAAATGTCACGAAACGAGCCCAGGTTAAGATTCTTGTTATAATGGATTATAATCGGGAAAGGTTGGGACCAGTTTCCTTTGCTGCGATTGTGTCTCTCAAATTGTATTTATTCTTCGCTGAGCACGATCATCATTTATGAGCCACTGAAAGATTCAAGCTATTGAGGCGGTAATGAGGATTAATTGAGGAAATAATTTGCTGCAAGTAGAATAAGTTATTGGGTAGCCCAGAAAAACTCTGAGGAACTTTCAAATGAGCACCGAAATTTTTCATTCAGCAAAAAGTTTCAAACTTGAATAACATGTCTGTTCAATTAGATTTGAGCGTTTCAAAATCGACCCGTGAAAAATGGTTGCACATGTTCGCAAATGTGGAGGAGACAATCGCTATGAAACGAAGTTCTTGATAGGGACAAAAAAAGATTTCTATTGAGTTTCTCTTGGTATTATTAAATTTGAATTTTACGCTCGTTCCTTGAAACCAAAGTTGTATCCCGAATCAGAGCACTTTCAAATTAAATAATAATAACAGCATTTATTTATTGTTACAGCAGAAGAAAGTTTGCCCCTCCAAAGTGAAAAAGAAAATGTATTCCAAAAATGTTTATTGAACATGCATGTACAGTTCAATGTTCTGAATTTTAAAGGAATTACAGCACTATATTTTGATTTTATCTTTGTTTACTTTATTTGCTAAAATCAATTTGAAAAAAATTAATTAATTCAAAATTATTAAAAAAAATTTTGGATGATTGCCAAAAAGTTATAATATTTTAATGCTGAAAATTATAAATACAGTGAGACCCCCACATGTGGACACATGGACATGGGGACAATTCAACATGGGGACATTTATTTTTCAACAAAAAAATCATAAAAAAGACCCAACGCGAGGACACTGACTCAACCTGGGGACATTGCAGGATAAAATTCCAAAATAAAGTTTAGGAAAATTGATTTTTATAAGGCTTAATTGCAAGAATTACATATTTCCAACCTCAGATCTATGTAAGAAAAATTCTTTAGTACTTTTCCCATCCATTCAGCTAATTAAAAATGCCCTACAGCGCAGAGGTACTTCCTTCTAGCTCTCTTTGTGACCAACAGTGACCAATGTCCAACAGGTTTTTTGACAACCAGTCATTTAAACTGATTTTTAAAATCAGTTTAAACAAAACTGCAAATGAAGATTTAACAATGAAGCAGTGTTCCCCAGCCTTTGCTTGCAATTTTTTTGCAATGAAGGCTTTTTCAAGGTCCCACGCAACTGCTTCGTCATTATAACAAGATTGATCTCCATTTTCAAGGTTTCCAATAATGGAACAAATATTTTATTCCTTTTCAAGACCTTTATCTGCAAGCACGGGAGCCTTACATTCATTAATAGTGCATTCACATTTATGAAAACTTATGGTGAACATCACTTTGCATCAATTACTGTGTGATTTTGATGAGATTTTTCCCGTGAGATGGAAAATTCTTGCACAGCTTTAAGTGTAGCTGAAAAATTTAAAATCATTTAGTTTTTTTCATTTGTCTCTCGTCATAGGGAAAATAAGACTGTGTATAGTTTGTCTTCCACAAACTATATTTCAATTCAACTATATTACTGTATTTACTCAAGTACCACGCACCATCAAGTAAGGAAAGCACCCCCATTTTCCCACCAGAAATTAGTTAAAAAACCTATCCCCATGTAAGACGCGCACCTCAGTTTTTTTGTTGCTGCTGAAAATCAAAAAATGGGATATCTTTTTTTTATTCATTTTTCCTCATCAAAATTTTGTCTTCCTATCTTTTTCCATCAACAAAAGCAGTTAAAATACATGTGCAATGCAGGACAGCTTCCTCAATTAGATGAATATTACACCCTTCCTTTACTTCCTGTTGCATTTCCAAGGAATGAAACAAATTCAGCCATTATTCCCCATCCAGGAATAAGAGACTTGGCGCCACACTTTTCCTCTTCAATTTTTTTCATTTGGATGTAAGGGGCACTGGTTTTGGGAATTTCTCTGTAAACTTTATCCCCAAGTGCCACGCGCACCCTATTTTTCTGCCTCAATTTTTAGAAACAAGGTGCGCGTGGTACTTGAGTAAATACAGTACAGTATATGTGAACTACAGTGCATATATTTCATTTCAAATTTATTGATTTTATCCAGAATACAGTTTTTCTTGTGTAATGCATGACTTGGGTAACAGAAGTACACAATCATCTTTTATGAATGAATGAACAGAAAACTTTATTTGCTGCTTTTCAGCATTCACAAGGTACAACCAAAACTCCTGCATCCAAACCCCCTCCCCACCCAACCCAACTCATCTTTTAAATTGAGAATACATGACAAACTCGCGTTTTTGCGCAATAATGCTTTTTTTTAATTTGAATTATGTCAATGCATAATTTCAAACTGTTGAAATGAAACTGTAAACTATGAAATTTTGGACGATAATTGCATGTAACTTGAGGCAACATTTTTTTTATCAAATTGCTCATGCGAGTGTCACTGCACCTGAATGAAAAGGCAAAAATTGGACAAGAGTATTTGTAAAAAAAAAAATAATAATAATAAACGCATGGTTTTACCGCGAAATTTATTCTCTATAACCCTCTACCAAAACCCTCCACCACATTGACACACACAAACCGGAAGTCAAACATAAATTCCATCACCAATGATTCTTCCAGCAAAAAATGTCCCCTCCGTATGTCAAATAATAAGAAAAATGAGAAACACGCAAAAATATTCTCTTCCATAAAAAAAAATATTAGATTCCCTGAAAAGTCGAAAAAATTTGGCCGAGATGCACAATGAAGAATAAGTTTTATGGGAATCACTCCTCTTTAACATTTTTTTCTCTCAACGGTTCTCGTCCGGAAATTTTTTTAATTCACCGGATTTAATATTTTAGACACGTTCCGCTATGTGTTCAGTCAGGGACACTATCCAGTGAATTAAGATATTGAAGTCTGTGAATGTCTATTACATGTTGAAAAAATATTCAAAAAAGGTTGACTTTCTAGTTTAAAGAGAGGTGTTGGCAACACTTTTCCATGTGTTTGCCTGGATAATGTGACAATGTAAGATGATTGTAACTCAGTTGGAGTATCATGATGAATTAACAAGCTTTTAAAACTCATTTTAAAACTCATCAATACTTCATCACAAAAATCTTTCATCAATCAAACTGCCAGGATAGAATTCAGGGACACATGACTGTAGTTCAACATTTGGAAACTTTGTCTGCCAAATTCAGTTTCATAAATCTGCTAAATTCAACTCTTCAAAGCGTTATGCTCTGTACCATAATTCCTCTGATAAATTATTTGCACTTAACTGAGGTCAGTGCAAAATAAGGTCAGATTTCAGAAAAGATCTCAGAAAAAATGTTTTGACCCTGCGCAAACCAATCCTCTAGAGAAAAATAGAGGAATACAAAAACAAATTTCCAAATAGGAAGAAAAAAAAGCTGCTTTAGGGTTCAATTGTATGCATAATTCGGCAGAGGATTGGGGTTTCCATAATTTCCCAAAGAGTACCCAGCACTGCCAACGGGTGGGACGTACGGCTGCTGCCTGCTGATTGGCTGCTCGTACTGGTAAGGCACTTGCGCCATTTCGTCCACGTAGTCTCCAGGCGGAGCGAAATAAGGCCACGCCCCGTTTTGGAAGTGAGTCGCTGGGAAGTCAACCATTGGCCGATCGTCGCTCAAGGCCTTCATGATCCAATATGGAGGCAATACGTAGGCCAATGGATGAGGCGTTCCGTCAGGCCTGTGGAACCCCACCGCCATCAAATCGTTCCAAGGGAGTTCGGGTACGAGCCAGTATTGGGGGTTCAGGCTATTATTGTAGTCCTGGTTAGAATACCCCTGTCCATAATTGCCATCACTGCTGGGTAAAATGCTTAAACCTGTGAAAAATTAGATTAATCAATCAGCTTTCATTTGTTTTCTATAATGACGTAGTTAACAAATGTAGTGAAATGAATATGGTTGCCATAACATCCAGTAAACCTGAAAAAAATGCTCATGAGTATTTTGTGATTACTAGAAAAATAACTACATACAGCGCTTGCACGCTACGCATATTCATATATACCGTATTTACTGGAGTACCATGCGCAGCTATTTTCCCAAATGTCAGAAGAAAAAAAGGGGTGCGCGTCATAAGCAGGTACAAAATTTTCAAGAAGTTTTAGGAAGTTGTACAAAAACTAGTTTTAGGAATTTATACTAAAATTAGCATTATACTTAATTATAATGGAGAAATTTGGAACAAATATAACAAGAAAACATTTTTGAACTGAAAAAGTTGAAAACTCATCAGATTTTTGTTCAATTCATGCCACAAGTCAATCTTTTTGCTTTTATTTTTGAAATTTTATGGTTTTAGATTTGCTAAAAATTGGGGAGCGCATTGCCTTACTTGAGGGCGTGTGGTACTTGCGTAAATACGGTACTATGTTCCTTATATATGTGTGTATGTATTTATTTTCATAATTCACAATATAAGGGACTTATTTTCTGACCATCTCATGATAAAATAAAAATAATAATAACAAAGGTTCTAAGCAGGGTACACTAGAAAAATGCTCTCAATAGTGGTAGCAAACCTTCCCAAGTAAAAAAAAAAAAAAAACTGTACCTGATTCTATTTTTGGAGTAATAAAACATTTTAACTTATAATTGATACGTGGTTGATAAGTTACATAATTGATAAGTTTCTTTTGCAGTCAAATTTTGGGAAACAAGTGAATTGGGAGGGGCGGGTTGCATGGGATACAATTTTAAAATGTCTGTGATTCCTGAATGATATTCAATCCATTGAACATGATTTTAATGAATGCTTATCCCTGGTTATCAAAAATTGATTTACCTGAGGAAAGACAGGTATCAATTAGCATGAATAATCAGATTTATACTGTATTCAGAAGCATTAAAAGGGAGTATATAGTAGGACCTGAAGAAAAAAAAGCTTCAACAATCTTTTTTGCATCAATTGATAAGTTCACCTCAGACAGAGTTTGCTGAGTTGAATTGGTGGTTTTTGTCTACTAATTTTTATTAATGACTTCCATATTTTCACTTTTTCTCATGTCAAGGAATTTTCCTCCTTAACAGTTGGGATGGGTTAAGTTTGATTGATCTAGGCCAGAATGTAAAAACCTTGTTGATACAATGTTGCCCTAACCTGGATCTGAATAGTAGTTTCCAGGGTGAAAAAATGCTTCTTTCACTTGTGCAGGATCAGGGACATCCACTGGGAGTGTTTCTCCTTCAGGATTAGTTCCAACATTTTCTGGTTGCTGCCCTGCCTCATTGTTTGCCCTTAATGTCTGAAGTTGTGCCCAAGGGGAACCATTATACCTGGAAAACCTGGAATCACAATTAACAATTTAAGCACAAATCCTGCTTGAAGATGTGGTTTGAATTGATCATCAGCAATGCTCACCCAAAATAACGGAAGAATCTACCAGAGCCTTTTGTACAAGAACATAGCAAATTTGGGGTCAAAATTTTGAAAGAACATTTATTTTGATCATTTGGTTAGAGAATGATCTGATTTTTGCCTGAAGGGATGGTGTTGAAGCTCCAATATCTGTTTGAAATACTGAGTATAGTATTCTTGGATATTCAAACAGAAAATTGAAGCATTTTATGTCATAAAAATTACATTATATATGATACAGTACATTGGGTTGTTCAACTAAAGATCTTATGGTGGATCCTTACCCAAAAAAAAGAAGCAAGACATCTGGGCAGAATAGGTATTTTTGTGTAAAATTTAGACCAGCTGTGTGATGGGTATTTCAAAATCAGTGACAGCTGGTTGGGCAATGGCCATGATCCAACAAATTTTAAATTATTATTGATTTTCTCATTTCTTTAATCTAGCTCAAAGTAGTTGAGTAGTTGTTGAAGGATATTTTATAAAGGCAAGGTTATGGTAAAGTCAAGCCTAGCTAAGTCAAATTTCAAGGGACCAGCAAAAAAATTGACTTAGGGATGCTCTGACTAAGAGAGGTTTTGACTTACCATATTTACTCAAGTACCACGCACACCTTTTTTCTCAGATTTCAGAAGGAAAAAAGGGGTGCGTGTCATAAGTGGGTACACATTTTTCAAGAAGTTTTAGGAAATTATGCGTGCATGATACTCAATTATAATGGAGAAATTTGGAAAACATATAACAAGATAACTTTTTGTACTGAAAAAGGTGAAAATTGATCAGAGTTTTGTTCAATTCATGTCTAAAGTCAATTTTTTGTATTTATTTTCAAAATTTTTTTGTTTTAGATTCACTAAAAATTGGGGTGCGCATCTTACTCAGGGATACAATTTTAGCCAAATTTTTAACTGGAAAACCCCAGTGCGCGCCTTACTCAAGGGCACGTGGTACTTGAGTATAATAAGGTATAGAGGTTTGAGCTACAAAACAAAGCCCTTTTGATCTGTGAAACACAGAAGAATTGTCCCAAAATTGGAAATGGTGATATTCTGGGGCTTAAATTGCTTCTTAAATGAGATGAAAGGATGCTGAACTACTTGGAGGGAAGAGATTCATTTATCCATTTGAGTCATTTACTTCCCTTCAAAACACATCAATTTATGTTTTTATTGCTTTTTCTTTCTTGTGTCAAGAAGATAATAGCCAAAAGGCCACCAAATATTTGAACTATGGACTTTTGAGGGGGAAAAGCCTTCAACTCTTAGAGAGGTTTTTAATGCATCATTTCCAAAGGGATTCAGAGAGGAACCTGATAAAATTTGACTTAGGGAGGTGTGAGTTTTTGTTGTTCAACAGTATATACAGCAGCCAGTATTGCATAAGCAGGGATCAATGATGATGGATTTATTCCTACTTATTGCATTGACTTCAGTTAACTCAACTTCCCCAAAATGGAGGCTATTTGGTGATGGAGACACTTACATTGCTGCAGATTGTCCACTTTTTACTTGTATAGGACCTGCTTTTGGAACAATGGACTGATTTTGGTCTACATTAATCCCCTCCTTGGTTCCTGTTTTTAGCAAAGCTGTATTTTGCCAATTTTCTGCTGGACCTGCTTTGTTCCAAATGTCTGTTGGACCTGTATTTTGAAAATTTCCTACAGGAGCTGCATTTTGCCAATTTTCTCCAGAAGCTGTATTTTGCCATTTTTCTGCAGGACCTGTATTTTGTAAATTTCCTGCCAGAGCTGCATTTTTCCAGATACCTGCATTTTGTGAATTACCTACAGGAACTGCATTTTGTGAATTTCCTACAGGAGCTGTATTTTGCCAGTTTTGTGTTGCACCTTCATTTTGCCAATTTCCTGCTGTAGCTGCATTTTGTGAATTTCCTAAAGGAGCTGTATTTTGCCAGTTTTCTGCTGCTCCTGCATTTTGTAAATTTTCTGCTGGGCCTGCATTTTGGGAATTTTCTACAGGGGCTGCATTTTGCCAGTTTCCTGCTGCTCCTGCATTTTGCCAATTTGCTGTAGCTGCATTTTGTGATATACCTACAGGAACTGCACTTTGTGAATTTCCTACAGGAACTGTATTTTGCCAGTTCTGGGATGCACCTTGATTTTGCCAATTTCCTGCTGTAGCTCCATTTTGTGAATTTCCTAAAGGAGCTGTATTTTGCCAGTTTCCTGCAGCCCCTGCATTTTGCCAATTTTCTGCTGTAGCTGCATTTTGTGAAATTTCTACAGGAGCTGCATTTTGCCAAATGTCTGTTGGAGCTGAGTTCAGTCTAGAGTCTGCTGAATTCAGTCTTGAACCTGCTGCATTCTGTCTAGAACCTGTTGGGCTCAGCCTAGAGTCTGCTTGGTTCAGTCTTGAACCTGCTGCATTCTGTCTAGAACCTGTTGGGCTCAGTCTAGAGTCTGCTGGGTTCAGTCTTGAATTTTTGGCATTCTGTCTAGAACCTGTTGGTCTCAGTCTAGAGTCTGCTGGGTTCAGTCTTGAACTTGCTGCTGCATTCTGTCTAGAACCTTTTGGGCTCAGTCTAGAGTCTGCTGGGTTCAGTCTTGAACCTGCTGCTGTATTCTGTCTAGAACCTTTTGTGTTCAGTCTAGAGTTGGCTTGGGGAAGCAGTCTTGTGTCTGATACAGGACTTGGGTTCTTTTGGGCACCCACTGGCCACCCTGCATTCATCCAAGATCCTTCAACTCCTGGGTTACGGCCTGTGTTCAGAGGTGCTGGGTCCTCACTCAACGGGATTACAGCTTGCTTTGAATTAATACCAGTGACTAGATCAGCATCTTCTGCTGGTGCTGCAGGTATTGGGTTCACTTGGACTCTCTGATCAGGCTTCACATTTTTCCTAATTGTTCCTGATGCTGTTGGACGTAACTTGGCTGCCTTTGGGGTTGCCAGTGCGGTTTTTGCCTGAAATTGGGTTTCTACTTTCAGCTGTGCTTGTTTTGATGTCAGTCGAGGTTGTTGTTGTTGCAAAGGGGCACTGCTGATGGCGTCTCCTTGAACGCCGGTATTTTGAGTAACATCATTTGCCGCCTTATTTTGAGTTTGTGGTCCCACGACTCTGCCTATCGTACGAGGGGAACCTCGTGTTGCTAGGGAATTTCTCAATTGGTCAGCCTGAAAATCGAGAAAACATTCTTTATTTTTTATATTTTTATAAATGGTCCATGAACAGTTATAGGAACTTTGTGGATTTCAATTTTGTAGTTCAATTACTTCAATCTTTCACTCATTTTCTTCAAACTGTCAACACTGATCATATACAGTGGTACCTCGCACTACAAACCTAATCCGTTCCAGGGATACGTTTGTAGTGCAAAATGTTCTTGATGCAAAACATGATTTCCCATAGACTTGTATGGGAAATTTTTTAATCTGTTCCAGAAAATTTGAAAAATTCGAATTTAAAAAAAAAGGGAAAACATAGTTCTGTGTCTTAAACAGTAGTTTTATACAGTGGCATGATTAAAAGGATAAATTGAGGCTTTAATTTAAATAAATTCCCCCCATCTAACGTCCAAAGTTTTTACAAAAGTTCCCCCAATACGATTGTCGTTTTTAAGAAACTTTTACCTAAAACGGAACTCGTGTTGGGGACGTTGAGTTTAAAATAAGAACTCCAAAGAAAAACAAATCCAAAGGTTGAAATCATCAATGCACACTTTTTTCAACATTCCATTTATAGCAATAATTGAAATTTTCAAAAATTTTCAAATTTTTCCGATTTTTTTGGGAAAAAAAGTTTGTTATGTGGAATTCGTTCATTCTGCAGGGGTGAAAATGGCAGATTTTTGCCAAAAAACGTCCATTATGCAGAATGTTCATTTTGCGAGGAGTTCCTTCTGCAAGGTACCACTGTATCTTTCAATTCAGACTTATGTGATTTTCTTAGACATAAGGGTCACGCTCACAAGAGGATGAAAATACAATACTGTTAACCCTTGGGTGGCAAAGTCAGACTATTTTTGCAAAAATTTGTTTCACCTCAGGGAAGAAAAGAAAAAATGAAAACAGGGAGCTGAGGACAAAGTCAGGAAAAATCTCAATGTTTTTTTTTCTTTTTGCACAGAAAAATTTTGCAGGAAATTTAACAAAAATGATATTTAAAGCAACAGACTTTGCCTCAGCCCACCTGGAAGGGCTTTTCTGAACTTCAGATGACTGAAAATGCCCCAGCATACAAAAATAATCCAATTTTGGCTGGCAATGGGAAAGAACCCTCTGCCGTCCAAGGGTTAATAGATGCAAAATTTATTTGAATTGCAGTATGATCTGAATCAGTTTTCATATAGTTCAGTGTAATATGGACAAACGCATTGGGATCTTGAAGACAAATTCAGCAGTTTTTATTCTCCCTGGTTTGTGAAATTGAAATATTATTAGAATTTTAGCATTTACTCAAGTGTTTAACCCTTGGATGGCAAAGTTGGACTTTTTCTGCAAAATGTTGTGTCTGTAAAAACAGCTTTAAAAAATACGGGACAGTGCATCCAGGGAAACTTCAAAAAAAATCCTAGCAGTTTTTTAAAAAAGCAAAGAAAAGTTTTAATCAAAAATTTTAAAAATCCATCCCCAATTAAGGCTGAGATTTTTTTTATCCCAAGGCTGGATTAGTTTTGTTACTGAGAGGCTCTCACTCCTTTCAATTGTAGTTTCACAAAAAGGGTTACATTTGCAGAAAAAGTCCAACTTTGGGAAATCTGAATACAGTACAACAATTTTCTCAGACAAAGTCCAACTTTGCCTTAGCCCACCTGAATTGCTTTCACGGCCTTCAATGAAAATGAAACACAGGCCCACCCAAGAAAACAAAACATATCTCCGCAATGGGAAAGAACCCTTTGCCACAGAAGGGTTATGATCATATGATTCTTGAAAAAAATTAACTGAATAGTATTTATCTAATGCAGAAACATTTTTCATTGCTTCTTGATTTTCAAATTTGTAGGAAATGAGGAAAATAAACCTGACCTTGAGAAATTGGGGTGTTCACATTTGAAATTACTGTGATATGAAGCAAGGCAAATAATCATCAGATATAATACAAAAAAAAAGAATGAAAATCTGAGATAAGTTGAACATTTGAACAGTTGTTAGTTACTCTTCAGACCAATAACTGGCCACAAGAATAAATCAAGCATCAATGCATAATCATTAAGGTCTTCATCCAATTTATGACCTATAAATAATGTAATATTTTTTGTGATTCAAACTCTGTTTGATTTGGTTCCTGAAAAATTTAAACTGTCATACAATTTTTTAAAAATAAATTCACAATATAGGTGATGCCCTGCAATTCCACCCTAATCCATTGCTGGATCAACTAAAGGGTTGAGTTGTGAAGCCATCAAATTGTGAAGCAATGTCAAATGCAATGTTTTCTATATCATAGTTGACATCTTTTGCACCTCTCTATATGGGCTGCTTTGTGGGGCCGAGGTCAAATTGCAAGTCAACATCCCTACAAATTCAACTGTTAAATTCTGGAATGGAGAAATTGTGGGCAGTGGTTGAATTGCAAGGTACCACCTGAATTGAATACCACTCCTGCTAATGGGTAATTCATTCTGCTGAATGACTATATTTACACTGTATTTATATTTATAGGCCTCATTTACCAGTATTCGATCCAGAAATTATTGTTGATGATTTCTCTCAGTTTAAATACATTCCATCAAAGCATGTCTTAAATCAATTTGTATACCTGAACTACCTTTTCTCCATAAAGACTGATAAAGAAATGCAATTGTGCCAGTTAAAACATCACAAAAAATTCAGCAGCACGCTATGATGCACTAATTTATCCTTAAAATTTGAAATCTGAATAAAAATTTTGGATCAGGTGACTTACATTTTGTTGCAATTGCAGAGTGTCGTCCTCTGTCAATGCGAGTCCAGAAGTAAAAGCATTACAAAATAAAATAGCAGCCAGGTACCGAATCTTTGTCATTTTTTAAAAATCGAAATGCATTCACANATCTTGGATCAGGTGACTCACATTTTGTTGCAATTGCAGAGTGTCGTCCTCTGTCAATGCGAGTCCAGAAGTAAAAGCATTACAAAATAAAATAGCAGCCAGGTACCGAATCTTTGTCATTTTTTAAAAATCGAAATGCATTCACAACAAGGATGAGTTTGTCTTGACTAATTCCGGCTGAGCCTCGCTATCCATCAGGATAATGGACATATCTTCAAGCACCTTTCATATTTATGTCGATTCATCGTTTATATAGTTCAGTGCGTGAAATCGTTTCTCACCTTTGGAATAGTTTCGTGCTCGTGTTTCTTGAACAAGAATTAACCGTGTTGTCCCACAGAAAGACGCAATTTGTCACGAAGCGTTTGCATATATTCATCGCCAAGATTCGTATTTTCCGGGGCAAGACATGATCAATTCCTTATTTCGTGTTTTCACTTTATCCATTCGATTGTGACCCGGAAATTACATGTTTTACCAGGTAGACATGATCATTTGAAGCAATGATCATTCCTCCATGAATGGAGAACTGATCTTTAAAAACATATTGGATTGAGTTTTTAAATTCCTGACGTTTTCGTCGCTTTTTTCATATTTAGCGAAGTTGAAAGGGTTTCCGTTTTGCGGCGAGGAAAAAATTAGGCAACGCAGTAAAAATACTGTACTTAAACTCGAAGAAATTGCATATATAATAACAACTCAAATTACGTCATTGAGTATTTATAGTGTACTCTAGTATTAGAAACATTAATTTAAAATTTGATTCTGTACTTGGGAACAGAAAAATGTACTGATGAGACTGCCAAAATGCATTACAAATTTACATTAGGCAAAAAAAAATTAGCGGAGAAAGCTTAAAAATTAGCTTTGAGTGAACTAATGAACGCATATTATTGGCAAGAATAAAATTTGATTTTTAAATTCCGTACACACCTAAATAACTTACTTGAAAATATTTTATTTTGACAGAAAAACTTCAAATATTTAACCAGACACTATTATCAAAGAACCATCAACCAAAAGAGTGTCGAAAATTTCATCGTGAATAAATGTTGAAATCTAATCTTAATTTTCTTTCATACTGTGCAGAACGTGGACAGTGGAATTATGTCATTCAGTATTTAGTGTGTTCTGTCTACTAAACAAGGGAATTGACTTTCATTAAAATTGATTCCGTACTTGGACAGAAAAATCCCTGTAACCGTTCTGACAAATTTACATTAGGCAAAAAAAAATTGAGCGGATTTTTGATAACTAATGAACGCATATTTGCAAGAATAAAACTTCAATATCTATATTCCGTATACGCCTAAAAAAATATCGGAATTATATTATGCTGACAAGAACATCTTTAAACATTTGTCCAAACACTAAACGGTAAATCGGTCTGAAATTTGCACCATTACAAGGCACATTTTATGAAAAGAATTACGAGAATAAGCAAAGAACCATCAACCTAACGAGTGTCTAAAATGTTCTCGTGAATAAATGTTCACATATAATAAAATTGGGCAGAATGTGGACGACATCCAGTAAAATATAAAAATCCGTCGAATGAATTAAAGAAAATCATCGTTGTCGAAGAATACTTGCTTTTTCATTTTCAAGTCGTAATTATTCAAATACACCCGAAGCAGATATCATTCAAGTATAAAAATTATAAAAATTGTCGACACGGCCGAGATCCGAGGATAAATCCATTCATTCCTTTCTACCTGCAGAAATGAAGCAACAATTAAAATTCGAGCCAACCGCGTTGAAAATGTTTTAAAAAACCAGATTTCATTCCAATAGAGAAAAAAATCGAACATTCTTCTGGCCGAATATCCCGAAAAATATTGTCATAAGACAAAGGAAATTGAAAAGAACAAACCTTGAATACCCGTTGCTCGGTCGTTGCTGGTTGTAACCGGGCGTGCTGTACAAATAACGTGCAGTAGTCGTGGAGTAGCGCGGGTAAGTTGTCGAGTAAGTCTGGTAAGTGGTCGTGTAAGGAGTGGTTGAGTAAGTATTAGAAGGCCGATGCTGGTATCCGTAACTGCTTTGTCGCTTGCGCCTCACGTCATCGTTATTCACTCCGTATCCAACAGCCGACTTATTGGCGACATCACGACGTCTCAAAACTTGAAAAACGAAAAATGAGAATGAAAAAAATCATCATCGAATAAATGTTGATCGCAAAAAGATGAAATAAATCCCGTTCAGCAGGGTAGAGGAGAAAAATGCTACGATGACGAGCAGACGGCATACCTCGCAAAATTCCAAGTCGTATTAGTCGAATTAAAAGAGATTAATTCAAGTATACTGTATTCACGAACATTTACTGGTACAGTAGTAAATGCTCGGCAACTCTTGCGGCATATTTTTAAAAAATACATTGGAGCTGTTATTATTCGTACAACAGCTGAATTTAAACTTTTCAATTTATCAATATCATATATACCACGAATTTATGGCGAATCAGGAAGTTTTTGGAAATGCCTAAAATGAGGATCCAAATTTACGTAGGCTATACAGTACTCATCACCAAGAACGACGAATTATTCACCTCAAAATTGTGTTCAAAATTAAGAAAAAAAAATTTCAAGAAAAATCATATGGCAAATGTCGCACATCCTACGGGTTAAAAAAAAATGCTGTTCAACTGCGTAGATGTTTAATGATAATGAAGAAACACGAGGCTTTCGGTAAACAACATACACCACGGTTTATAAAAATTTTTGAAGTTACACTCGAAAGTTACAGGATTAGGTCGGCCAGAAATTAAAGTGAATACATACGAGGGTTGGTTCGTACAATTGATGATAAAAAGAAGCCAAATGCCGTCATTGGAGGCGGATGCAATTTTTATTTTGCTCATCAATCATTCATTGGTGTCTGAATGTTCATCCACTACTTAGCTACAGGTGGAAACAACAAAAAAAGAGACTTAGCTGTCAATGTTCTCCACAAAAGTGAAGTTTAATTGATCAATAGGAGCTGCACATTTGCTTACTCTACAAATCAACATTGAACCATTAAACTTCACTTCAGTTGGAGAACATTTGAATGCATTGACTCCATCAACATCATCTTTTACGTTTCACACCAACAGTGTAAGGCACTAATTAATAATAAAGCTAAATTTGGAATTACCTGAAGAGTCGACAAGAGATGATATACGCGAAAGAAGAAATAATGCTTGCGATGATCAGCCAATTCACGCAGATGAAATCTATACCCATGTCGCCAAAAACTAAATTAATTTCACATTTCTTTTAGAAAAAAAAAAGTCAATTTAGAATTATTCTCATTGAGAAAGCCGCTCATCGCGATATACATATAAATAATTCGTGAAGGTATAATGTAATGAACTAACCACGGAAGATGTACTTTTCTTTTGAGCCAAAGTCCCGCTTCCGGCGATTTGCATCGAGACCGATCTCTTGGGAACCAGTATCGTCAACAGGGTCGGATTCCCCATCTTCGTTAGTGTACGAGGGTTCCGAAAAATCTTCTGACCCAGGGTCATCCTCTCCGGGAGCATGACCATCAGTGACAAACCCCGGTGGACTCGAAACTTCGTCGTAAGAGTCCTAAAATATATTACGGTTATTAATACTAGGCAACAGGTCTGATGAAAAACCATTTGATGAAATTCGCTCATTTGAAGGAATTGATGAGAAAAAAAACATTAAACACAACCTGACAAATCACAGGAACAACAATAATTCACAGGACCTCGATAACACCACGATATATATAACACTAAATCACAATTCCAAAATGGTACCAAGTTTAGTCAATCTCCGATTATCCACACGAAATCACTTGATGCATCTCAAAATAGAAAAAAGTACTTTGTCAATAATACTGAGCTCTGAAGGTTTTCAGGATGTCTTGCCATTTACTTCATAAAATTCGGCAAATTAAATCCTGTCCATGAAATACTGCATTCAACTCATAATTCCATACCCTGTCAGAGATTCCAGCTTTGAATTCAGTTCGTCACAATATTACTGTAATACTCAAGAACCTCAATAAAGATTCATTAAATCAGATTGTTAACACCGAAGTCGAAAGCAAATCATATTCTACCTATTTGCCGAAGAACTGTTACAACTGGCACGAGAAAATCACGGAGAAATAAAACGATCGGAAACTTCTAAGTCAAGGGAGTACGTTAAACAAAAAATTGTTCACCGACCGCGGTGGATATAAAACAAAAATAATCCCGAAGAATGAATTGAAAAGTACACTCACATCACAGACGACGAAGGTGACCGACATTACGGCTACAAATACGAATGCAACCAACGAGTTTTGAACGAAGGATTTCATGATGAAACGTCAGAACACCTCGAACAATTCAAGAGAATAAAACTTCGTTAAAAAGATTGCTTCAGTGAAATCCTCAAGTCCAACAGACGAATGACTATCGCTCCGACTACAATCACGCATTTTATACCCGAGCCTGAAAGCAAAAAATAATAAAGCATGCTGCAAATATAGGGAAAACCCCACGGGGAGAGAAATGAATGAATGAAAGCGGGTTTCGCATTCCGGAATTATCGAGAAAACGTGAAAAAGGTTGACCTTCGGAAAACTGCCCGAGATGATGCTGGAGGAATGTTCGCAGCGGTTTCAGGACGAATTCGCGAATGTATCGATCATCATGAATGAGCGAAATTAATTATCTGAAATTATATTAATTATACGAGGTGCTTTTTGAGGAAATCTGCGTTGCGAAATCCCGCGCGTTCAAACAAACTATTGTATAGCTGCTTTTCTCAATGAAGAATTCGTACATTTTGACTATGCAGGAATATACAGTAGTATAAGAAAATGAATGTGATGGAAACGATTTCCAACGATTTTCGTCACGTGTCACTTAGTTTAAAAGCAAGAATCTCCAGTCGGTGGGGTGATAACAATAACAACGCAATATTAAATTATTTACAGCAGATCTTGCTTGTATTTGTTCAGAGTTGAACGTACCGAAAACCTATTTTTCAATCTTCCAACTGTTAAAATCTTCCAGATGTAAAAATTTGGAGTAGTTCCATGTAGAGAAAGTCTTTTGGCGCTATTGGGATTCTTGCGACGAGTATGTCAATGAAATTTGATTAAATCGAGGTTCAGATTAAGTCCACATGTACATACTAGAAAAATCTTTCCTCAATCATACTTATTTATGCATACAGTGAGAAACAAAGATTTGGTATATCAAGAGTTAAGTCAAAATGTCCCTAAGTTATTGAGTCTCATTTTGCCTCAGACTTAGATTACCTGTATTTACTCAAGTACCATGCGCCCTTGAGTAAGGCGCGCACAGGGGCTTTTCAGTTGAAAATTTTGCAAAAATCTCATCCCCGAGTAAGACACACACCCCAATTTTTAGTGAATCTAAAACCATAAAATTTCAAAAATAAAAACAAAAAATTTTACTTTAGGCGTGAATTGAACAAAAATCTGATGAATTTTCAACTTTTTCAATACAAAGATGTTTTCTTGTTATAGTTGTTCCAAATTTCTCCATTATTCAAAAATAAAAACAAAAAATTTGACTTTAGGCGTGAATTGAACAAAAATCTGATGAATTTTCAACTTTTTCAATACAAAGATGTTTTCTTGTTATATTTGTTCTAAATTTCTCCATTATAATCAAGTATAATGCAAACATGACTTCCTAAAACTTCTTGAAAATTTTGTACCCGCTTATGCACCCCTGAAAATTTGTTCTTCTGAAATTTGGGAAAAAAGGTGCGCGTGGTACTTGAGTAATTACGGTACATAATTTTTAATTGGTGTTTTATGGACAAAATACTCACCATAATTCCAGGAAAAAATTGGTCTCCCAATTGAAACTGATTCAATCAATATCTTTCAACACAATATGGAAATTTGGAGCATTGAATACTGATACCTCTTTACAGTACATAGAAATGTTGACCATCTCTGTAAAAATAACATTCAAGTGGAAAAGAGGGAAGGAAGCACCTCTTTATGCTGGGGGTAATGTTAGAATTAGCTAAATGGATTTTAAATTGATGAGAGAAATGCCAAAGAACTTTTCTTACATCAATTTTAGGGTTCAAAATATCTGCTTCTTGTAATTTGGCCTGAAACTTATTTGCAAAATCCTGCCTGATTGGGCATTTCAAAATACTTTTGGGAGTGTCAGCATCACTTTTGAGGATTTGGGGGAGATAACTAAAAAAAAAATGTTAAGCTTAGGTGCACATCAAATTTGATTTCCCAATTGAGAATATTAATCTACATTCTTCAAGGCATTCAATAAAATTTGATTAAAATAATTTCCACCAAATTCGATTAAATCAAAGGATTGACAAATTCTTCACATATATACAATCCTCCATGATGATTTCTTTACAAATGCATCAGCACTACAATACTTCTGTACATGAGCAAAAAGAAAGAAAGAAAGAAAGAAAGAAAGAAAGAAAGAAAGAAAGAAAGAAAGAAAGAAAGAAAGAAAGAAAGAAAGAAAGAAAGAAAGAAAGAAAGAAAGAAATACCGAAACTGAAATGCAACCACAAAAGAATATTTTAATTTTTACAGCTCATCAACACAAAAAAACATCATATTTGAGCATGCAAAAAAATCCCTCTCTGATGATGGGCATATACAATTCACCCCGCAAAATTTCTGATGAGCCGATCCAGGAACCTCTGCAGCAAATTTGTCAACCTCTGAATTGTCAACTTTGGTAATGCGGTAGTTGTACGACTATTCACAGAGGTTTTAGGAGTCGTGATGGTAGAGGTCCTGATGTTGTAATGGGTGCAATTATCGGCGTATTGGCAAACAAATGAAGCGTGTTCATCGTAACTCATGCTGCTGGCAAATGTTATCAGTGTGTCGGACGAGGACAGGGCAAAGACGGATTCCACGCCAATAATGCCTGCGTCTTGGGTTCCGTAGTGAATGACAAGGGGTGATCCCAAGTATCCCTGTACAGTCTATATATTGAGGGTGAAGAACAAGTTCAAGTATTTGGCACAGTATAGTTGATAAATGATTAAACATATTTCTCCAACCGTTTTATGTCAAGATAATTATTCAGATAACGATTGCTCATGAAGTGGAGGAATTCATGTAGACGGAATTGAATTGAGTAAATTTTCTCTTGAGTGATGAACAATAATGCAGAAAATTCAAGACTCATATGTGCTGTTGCAATTAATTTTTTTTTGAGTTTCTAAAAATTCAGAATACCAACAAAGGCATTATAATAAAATGTACTTGAAAGAAATCATTCACTTTAGAGCCGCTATAATTGCTTGCATTTGGCTCTTCTGTTAATTTGGATGCTCTGCTGCAAAAATACCGTATTTGCTTGAGTACCACACGCCCTCAAGTAAGGCCCAAACAGGGGTTTTTCAGATGAAAATTTTGCAAAAATCTTATCCCTGAGTAAGACGCATATCCCAATTTTTAGTGAATCTAAAACCGTAAACTTTCAAAAATAGAAACAAAAATGTTTACTTAATAGGCGTGAATTGAACAAAAATCTGATGAATTTTCAACTTTTTCAATGCAAAATTTTTTTATTGTTATATTTGTTCAAAATTTCTCCATTATAATTAGGTATAATGCAAACATAACTTCCTAAAACTTCTTGAAAATTTTATACCTGCTTATGACGAGCACCCCTTTTTTCCTTCTGAAATTTGTGAAAAAAGGTGCGCGTGGTACTTGAGTAAATACGGTAATTACTGTACTGTAATTTGCTTATTTATATACTGTACAAAGAACTATATAGTCAGTATAAACATCTGAATTGTTATTTTACGTTCAATTTCAAGCCTTCAAGCATTTTTGAATTTTACCAATAAGATGTTATGCTTGGGTTTTGTTTTTTCCCTTTTCTTACAGTATCATTAGCATTTGCTGATGTGCTTGCATTGACCAATTTGAAGCACAATGACCATTCCTGGCTGAAGAAAGGGCTGTTGCATGCCAATCCAATAAAGTTTGCCTTCTGGATTATCCAGGAACCTAAAGGAAAAGAACACATGGTGAAACAAATCAGCAATTAACATCTTTTTTGCAGTACAGCTTGTATAAGCCCCAATATGCCCCAGCAAAAAGTGTGGGATAAAAAACAGGGGATGTACACCTCCACCTGTATAGTATAGCAGTTTTCCCCAACCTATCTGTTGGTCTGCAAACATTTTTTGCTGGTAAACTTTCAGCATAATACATTTCTTAAAAGTAGGAGTGACCTCTACTATCATTCCAACAAATCTTGCTATTGAGATTTGTTGTAACTGAATTCTACTATATATATATGTGTGTGTATATATACTGTACTATGTATACTCACCATTACTACTGACTTCTGTTGAATTCCAGTCTAGAATGGTGACTCCTTGTCCAATGTACCTGAAGCCAGAATTGTGCACAACTGGAATCGTGTTCACAGTGTCGCCCAACACGGCATCAGAGGGCAATTTCAAAATTGCCGGTTGGTTTTTGATAAAATTATCAAAAGAAGGTTTATTAGGATTCCACGAGACGTAATTATGGTGTCGAATCACGTTGGGGAGTGTGACATTGAACTCTTGCCACTGTTGCATCTCACTTGGAGTCGCTTGCCCCAGAGTGACAATAAATGACGAAACTATTATTGATGCATAGGACTCTGGATCTGTCAACAGGGCTGCGGTGAGAACGTGTCTGTTCCACAATGTATAAGAAAGAAAATTTGTGGCGTCAAACATGAAACACAAAAACGTTTTAAACATCTATAGCCATGCATCAAATATACAAAAGTACTGAAAAACTCCAATGCATATTATGTATATAGACAGTATGTATACAAGTATATATACAATATACAGCAGAACCCCTCAAAAGTCTAATTTCAATTGACCAGCTAAAATTTTTGACTTAATGAGGCTTTGAATTATATAGAGAGGTTTTGAGTTATATACTGTATTTACTCAAGTACCACGTGCTCCTTTTTTCTCAAATTTCAGAAGAAAAAAAGGGGTGCGCATCATAAGTGGGTACAAATTTTTCAAGAAGTTTAAGAAAGTGCATTATACTTGATCATAATGGAGAAATTTGGAAAAAAATGGCAAGAAAACTTTTTTGTCCTGAGAAAGTTGAAAATTGGTCAGATTTTTGTTAAATTCATGTCTAAAGTCAAATTTTTTGTTTCTATTTTCAAAATTTTGTGGTTTTAGATTTACTAAAAATTGGGGTGTGAGTCATACTTGGGGATAAGATTTTAGCCAAATTTCCAACTGAAAAAAACCCTGTGCGTGCCTTACTGGAGGGCGCTTGGCACTCAAGTAAATACAGTATATGTTTGAGTAATGCAACCAATCATTTTTGGTGTTGGGAAAAATGAAAGAATTTTACATTGCTTTGTCTGTATGAGAAGCATTTTAAAGTATGTAGTCCCCATTTCCAATAAAATTGCAGTCTGAAATGTGCTAAAAATCATTAATCTTGATCCCAAAAAAATGTGTAATAATTTTTTCTCATGTCCCCAGAAGTTCCTTGTAATGAGATTTTACTGTATATAGAAGTTCACACCACAATTTAATACCTCTTGGAAATCAGCGCTCCGACTCCCACTGTGAATGAAAAACTTGATGGAATTCCGCTGAAAAGATCAATCTTGGCAATGTACGGCGCATTTGCTGGGTTCGTCTCCCTGACACCGCCTCCAATGCGAGGATAGACAGGATTGTTTCCTGCTACGGAAGAAGTATTGAATCGATTGGCAATCCGTTGAGCGATTAATTTCTGCATGTAATTATGCATCAGGATGAAGTAGCTCGTCCCGACATCCCTGTTGTTCGATCCTGTGCGATCAAAGCAAACAGTTTCAGGTTCAATAAAGTTAAAAATTAAAATTAAACTTATATATACCTGCGTTCGCGGTGCAAAAATGGACTACTGCCATTATGAGCAAAAATTTCACTCGTACTCCCATGACGTCGATGGAATCACTTTACTCGCTATATATATATATTCAAGCGGGAATTTCTGAAGGGAGTTCAAATGAAATCAAGAGGTAAAACCTCAAAGTTTCCTATTCCTTCACGAATCACACAAAAAAAAATCTTTAGGCAAGTTTCGTCGCAGCAGCTTGGAGGCGAAAGTTTTTATTTATTTTTAGTATGAACACTCCGTGTGACGTGTATGACTAAGAGACGATGATGATCGCGAGAATGATTTTTTTTACATTGACAACACTGCACTGAAATTTTCGGATCTGGGGGTATTATACATTTTATACAAGTCAGATGACTGCTTCGAAAAAATGAAGAACACTGACTGAAAAACACGATGGATTTCGCTTTGAAGAATACATTTTGTTGATGTGCGTCCACCCATTAATAAGTGATTCATCTACAGGGTGGGTCAGAAAAAAAAGATAACCCATTTTAAACTTACAATAGCTCAGTTCGAAATCAAGCTGTGGCAATGAAAAAAAAAAGTCATTTGAAAGCTTGTTCATTTCCCCTTTTGATTGGAATAATACACTGTACTGTAGTTTCATGTTCCAAGTGCCACAGTGCAGTCACAAGAACTATTTGAATGAAAACTTTCACACAAAATAGTTGTCAGGCAACTTCTTCCATTTGAGCTGCTGTTCTCCAGAGCTGTTTTTTTAAAGGATACATGAGATGCAGGACCAGTAATTTAGATAGCACATTTTATGCTACCTTCAAGAGGGTGCACACATTCCCAAAATGTAGGAGGTGGAAGTGAGAAGTGAAAAAAAAGCAGTGATGCAAGCTTTTTGCTGGGTGCCAGCCTTATATATGGCTCCTGTGTGGAAATTTCTGTAGTATGACTGACTGGATTATTCAAAATCAGTTTCATTCACTAATGTATAATAATCACAATGGTCAGGTGAATGTGTCCTCAACATGGGGTATTTTCATCTGTAGCAGTGAACTTTTCATTCTTATTTTGAAGTCTTTGTGTTTTTGATGAATGATGAAATCTCGTTGTGGTGATCAGGAAAAGGGATATTATCAAAAATTGATTAATTATTACATAAGTGGTGGCTGGCCGGCTTTAAAATGACTATTCTTTCATTGCCACAGCTTGATTTTCTACCAAGCTATTGTAATTTGAAAACCAGTTCATTTTTTTTCTGGCCCACCCTGTACATTGTTTATTTTTGAATAGTCGCAAAGCGCGAAGAGTTCAGAGACACTGTTTATTGACCTTCAGCACAAAGTCGCGAGCTTCGAAAGCAAGCTCACTCATGGATGAACATTTTAAACAGCATACTGTATAGCAGTTGGGACACGCATGTACAGTACATGTAACTTTTGATAGCCATTGATTTTCGCGGTAATTCTTCATCGGCATTTTATTCAAGTTCATAAAATAATTATTTCTATATTCCAGTAATAATTATGATGGTCCGTCATTTTCAAATATCTGGGATCACTGTACATACGAAAGTGACGTACTGTGCAGCTAAGGAAATCTCCCAGGATTTTCATTCATTTCAGTGTATGCTTATAGTGCTTGCACACGAATAACGCATATAAATACTGTACTGTCATACCAATAACTGCGATAAGATCAAGCAAGCATGCGTTACAATCTTGAAAACAGTTCATCATAATAACATATATGTACTATAGATAGTATAATCTCGTTATAACAATTATTAATGATTACGACGATTTTTTTTTTGTCCCTGTCCAGCAATAGCCAAAAAGGTAATTTTAATTTCTGTTCAACGAACTTTTGATGGCGAATCATTTTTCAAGGTCTAAAATTTGTCGTTGTAACGAGATTCGATTGTATACACATACAAGTATGTATATTCAGGAGGACCCTCTTCACATGAATCTTGCCTGCAACAATTTTTTCATTTAACAAGTTTGTTGGTCCAATTAGGTTTTCTGTACCAATGTTGTACAGGGTTCACATCAAAGAAATTCTCCATACAGCAATTTTTTTTCGGCTCCTTAAATTTCGTTGTAGATGAGTCCATATCTGTGTATGAGTACAGTGCTGTATATGAGAAATATGGGCACCCTCAATATACATTCACGTAAAGACAAATTACATGTACATGGATAGGCTTAATGTACTGGAGAGTGTCAATTGGGATTTCCCTTTCAAGATTCTGACTATTTCGCTGGAAAAACGGTAAAAATACTGGCCAGCAAAGCTGGTCATCAGGTTTCTGCAGTTAATGCGAGTACTTTTTTTTTTAATACATATTTTACACAATGCATGCAGACGACATCTCACGAGCAAAAAGTCGCCGACTCGAGTTATGAATGATAAAGGAATAAACAGATGTCGCACGTGAGAACTTTTTTTTATATCCACGTTCCAGGCATAGTGAACGCGTTCCTCTCGCGCAAACGGCGTAGAAAACATTCCATAGATTTTGACAGCATCCTGAGCAGAACTAATTCCGCAGACTGCGAAGTCATTTCACATTCAACAATTCGGCTTGCTTCGCTTTCATGATCTCCTCGGCCGCGTGGACGTAATTCTCACTCATGGCATGAACCTGGAATATTTCAGACGTAACGTCAGTGTCTGAAGAAACTCTTTTTTTCAGGAAACAGAAAAATCTTCACCTGTTGTTCAACTGAGAACAAAACATCTACAGAAAATGACTTGTCCATTTTCTTGACATCAGCCACATACTTGTTTCGCAAATCTCGAATATTTTCCTTGCATTTGTTGAAGAATAGCTTCGCATTCTTCGCCAACTGATCACGATGTTCCTTCGTCACTCTACGGCAAATAAAAACATCCTTTTGAATTCTACACGGAATCAATGCGTACAATTTCCATGTCCTTTGTTATGCAAAAAATTCAGCAGCCCTTGAAGAATTAAGAAATTGACAACTCACTTTGGCACGGGGACATAAATAGTAGTACCGTCTTGTTGGGGATTTAAATTCATTCCTGAAGCTTCGAGAGCTTGCATCACATCCTTTGTTGCTTGGGGAAACGCTGCACAATTGATGACGATCAATTGAGGAGTCTTGTACGCAATTTGCGCAATTTCCATCAACGGGAACGTGTCGCCCTCCAACTTCACTTTCAACGAATTCAGGGAACCTATAATGCAGTCGCAATTTACATAAATCGGCTCATCGCGAAAATGGCGAATTTTGTAATTCACCTGTCGCAGTGCGTAATGACACTTGCTCAGCGTAGAGCTTCTTGAGGCCCATGAGCGCTTTTTCAAGTTTCTCCTTGTACTTTTCGACTTCAATAACTTGGCCGATTTCCTCTTCGTCGATTGCCAAGTGATGCTTATCTGAAAATATCCCAACAATTAAAAAAATATGCGTTGAATACGAATGAAGAAAGAGTCAAAAATGTCAACATGACGGGATATTTGGAAGGATGTGAAAATGGCGTGAAAAGATTCGTTACATCCTGTTTTCACATACAAACCGTATTTAGTCAAATCAAAGACGCCGTGAATTTGCATGGCCTAACGCTGATGTAATGTTTAATTGAAAGAGATTTTTATCATGCTTCAGTTACAGGGAGTTTCTTTCTTCAAGATTTTTCAACGAAGATAAAAAACACTCTTTTGTCCTTCAAAATGAAAATGCCGATCTTTTCCACTAAAATTTCAGTCAAATTTTGTTCGTAAAACCGCACGCTCGTCTAAGGTGACATCCCATGTAAAAAGCATTCCATCTTTGTTTAGACCATTTTTGCGAAAAGTGCGCATCTTACATTCGAATAAAAGCGATACGAACAATGCTAAAAACAGAAAGTTTTACTTTTTAACGCCTTTTATAAACCTTTTTTTGTTCCAGTGCGGTCTTCGGTAACTTGTTTTCCGAATTTTGAAAAGTAAGAAGTTCCTGAGTGCAAAGAAGAGGAAGGGGGCCAGAAAACGAAAGGTTATGACTCCCGAAGTAGAGAAAGAGAGACGGGTATAATTCTGATGAACTAGCGTCGGGAAATTTTCATTTTTCACGAAACCGGCCGAGAAGTTTCCCTCGATACTTCTTCTGATGGTGGTTCGCCAGAGACTTCGTTTCACGCTTTGGCACGCGATGAGAAATAAGTTCCTCGACGACATTCTCGTCAGTGCTTCCGATCACGACCTATTCCATTTTCGTCCTGACGATCGCAAATTTATTTCAGCATTAGCAAAAACATGAAGCACACGAATTTAAAAATCATCCGCTCTCCGTCGTCCGGTCGCTAAAATTACTTGAACCTCCTTCAGCAAGACGAATATTAAAATCTCACACAGCGGGAGGAATAAAAAGAGCAGACTCATTTTCAACAGGGATCCCCTTTGAAAAGTAGGCTCTTGTATTGAGAGCTATAGGATAACTTAAAGTTTCCCTTTTTTAATTATCCTCAATTTTATGGCTCTATATTTCTACGTCCATCAGAAAAACTAGATGATTTTTCGAATCCGTATTTTGATTCCTCCAGATTCTTTATGACGCACATTTTGTGGAATACTTGTTTTATCTGCCCTTCATTCATTTCAATAGCAAAAATATAGATTTTTTAATCCAGGTAAAATGGTAAATGAGACAAATCATTCTAGGCAGCCATAAGTTCTAAAGAAATAGATAATTTTTTATTTTATAAGACACAGAGCGTCGATCACGGGACACCTGGCCCGAGTTTACAGATTTAAGTGGAACATAATTTAAACTCCTGGAATACAATCTTTTCGCCAAATTTCAAACTATGCTAGCAGAATTCGTAGGGCAAAGATGAGGTAACAGTTGGCAAGGTTTGTCGAATATTCTTTTTTTTCTGATCGATGTGATCAAACCCAAATTGAAGAAAAACCAATTTTTCAATAATAATGTTATTTGATTTACTTAAATAAAAAGATTTATTAGATGGTAGCTCTGGAAAAGAACTTGTCTTTTCCTCTCTGCGTCAAAATGGAACAGGAAATAAGAGAACTATTACAACTCATGACAGCCTACAAAACACCGCGGAGAAAAATGCTGCAAGGTGACGAAATGCAGGAATGCCACGATGAGCAAGTCCAATCCGCTGGAAATTACTTCGAACAAACGCCAAACTTTTGACATTCTGATATCTGGCAGAATCAAAAAGCATACAAAATATGCAACTGCCTTTCAGCACTCAGCGACCAAACGAGGAGGAAATCCAAATGCAAATAAACTTGATGAAATTATCGTGAATAACATTCCATTTGCTGAATAACCGTCAAAATATTCCAAGAAATCCGCCAAACCACTTCCATTCGGGACTTTTGAATCACCAAACGCGATGCAGGGGAATGTCCACAATTTCCACTCATAAGATTGCACGATTATAGGATCCATTTCTAGGAAAACGTCAACACTGCACATCCTCCATTGGGAAACGATCATGCACCGAACTAAAAACATCATTTCTCATATTCTTTTTTATAAAGCAAACAAATAAGGGTTCATAACATCGCATGGATATATGAAGCAATTACAGCAAGCGCGGTTTCCTTTCAAGAACATACAATTATGACATGTAGCAGTACAAAGAAATAACAGCTGAAATTCACTTGAAAATACTGTACTGTACTGCACTCCCATTTTTGATACGGTATTTTCCCCGAAGTGCCCAAATTATTTAGTTGAGAAGACAATATATAATATTAAAGATTTTTTTAAATCGAAACTTCACCACCACCATCATATTCATCAACGTTAATTCAAGCAGCACAAATTCCATCTCTTTCAGAAATAATGACAATTTCTCTTTAAAACCAAAAACTCATCAGAATTTCCCCGTTTCCTCGATCAGAGGTCCTATCGTAATTTGACTGGCCAGAGTTAAAAACCAAGTCGATCACTAAAATTTCTCGGAGAAATCGTAAATGTAACCAACACATTTAACCGACTGCTGCGGAAATCCCAAAAATAAAACGGATGCGCAAGGACGCGAATCACAAGATTTTGGCCGAGAAGCCATTTGGGAAAATATTGTGACCCATACGACAACCCGTGTACGTCAGGAAATTTTCGCGGGTAGCGAAGGATCACAATCCGATGCCGTCTCGCTTTTTTCTGATGATGTTTTCCAGACGCTGGACCCGTGCTGAAGGGGTGACATCTGGTTGTTCGTTCAACAGCCTTTGCGCGGCCATGAGCAACGCGGACGACGCTGCGTCGCTGAGAGTTCCGCTTGGCTACATGAAAAAATAATTAAAGGAAAATATATAAATAAAAAATTTCCGTACTTTTAGTGAATAAAAAATGAATTGATGGCATCTAACTACGGTATTCAAGCAACACGTGGTACTTGGCCCGAAAGACGCGGGATGTTTCCAGCAGATCGCAGAAAGTAGGACGGAAAAAACATGGGAAACTTTGAAATCACAGAAGTGATTCAGAAACAATAATCATTTTGTGGGATGCGCTAAATAAATTTAAAAATCGATTCGGCACAAGGATAATGTTAAAATCAGCTTCACCGATTACAAATTCGCAACAAAAAAGCTCTTCACAAGTTTTTAAAACGATTTTGATTCCGCAGTCATATTTCTAGATATTGTTTCTCCGCCTTTACAGTGAGAAAATTCCAAGAAAAAGGTTAATTCTGCGCAGGACATTTTAAACGGAAGTAGGGGTACGCCTGCTCAAGTCGAAAACCAGTTGAAAATTGGAAGTGCTGCGCAACGTACGTCCGAACTTCTGGGAACTTCACCCTCGACACTACCGTCACTGAAAGTAAATCCGGTTTCGCTACTTCCAGTTGACAGGGCCAAATCCTGACGGGAAGACTGTCTGACTACTTGCTGTTTGCTTCTCTCTTCAACCAGAGCCTGAAATTGCTGACTGAGCTGAGAGATCTGAAAAAAATATATAAAGAAATTGTAGAACGAACAATCTTATGATTTGTAATTTCAAATTCTGAAGATAGCACAAAAATTATTCTTCATCTTCATTTCTTTTATCAATTTTTACACTAACGGATTTGTTTCTATTGCTGTTATTCAGGAAAAATTTATTCCAACTTCTCTTTTTACCCGCATTAACATAACTGAGAAGAAGAACTAACCCGAATGATGAGGGAACTCATTTCTCAACGAGTTAGACATCGGCATCTTCAATTGTTCAATCAAATTCATCGGTATTTAGCATCTTCTCTACTCGCTTAGCTCTGTTAACAATACGAACAATGTCTGCAGAGACGGAGATTTTTGTTGTAGCTTTGGCTTTTCGAGGGAAATTTTGGCATAAATTCAGATTTCAATTAAAATTACCCACAGCAATTTGAAAACCTCGCCCTTTCACAACTTACTTCAGCTCTCTTAGCTCCTTTCATTTCAAGAATTCTGTGGAATTCTTGGACATCAGCAGATTCCGGCATCAGTGCAACGTACTGCTCCACAAACTTTTTCTGATTGTCGGTCGGTGTCATAGCAACTTTCAATAATATTTCAGCTTTGCCCATACCGCTAAGTACGATCCTGGTGTAAGAACTTGGGGCTTTACGAACGACTGTGCATTCCAACACAGGGAGGTTCAACAACAGCTCCTAAAAACAAAAATCAATACTGTATTAGCAATTTCTTAAATTCCAGAATTTTTTCAACTTCGTAAATTTTTGGAGGCAACTTGGACTTTTTCTGCTCTATACCAGCAACGATATTTTTTTTGCTCCAAGATAAACGCTTTGGGGATACAACTCCATTCCAACAAGCTTTCTGATGAATCAGAACAGGTGTCACGTGAATGATAAGCCTCACATAAATAAAATGGAACAACCCTGAACTGATAAAACCTGGAATAACCATCTAAATTACCATAAACGCAGACTAAGATAACAAAACTTACTCATACTCAACAAGCCTGACGAATTTAAGGCAAAACCCATATAATCAATGAAAATTTTAAGATCGTTATATTCAATTTTCGGTAACACGAGAGAAATTTCCGTCAGATGATAAATAAAATATGGTATAAGCAAAGAAAATATAAGTTTGAAACGTCGGGCGCTGAATCGCGTCAACTCAGGGAATTTCCGTGGCAAAAAAAATTAATAAATTACCATAAATATAAATTCGATTTTTTTCACACCGCTTCAATTATACTTCAATCCGGATTCACCTTCAGCATATGCGTATCGAGCAAAAGTTGTTCAGCGGCCAGAGTGCCCAAGGGTTTACACTTGAACAACTGCTGGACAAACTTGGGAATGAAAACGTTCGCGAAGCGAGTGCAAAGCTGAAGGAAGAAGCGCCTCGAGGCACCCAAACAGTCTCGAATCAGAGGAACGTTCTGCTTCAACACAGCTTCGATGCCTGACACGTATTGGCTTTGATCGCCAACCCCGTGTACATTACTCCACGCAACTTTGCTCATGGACGACAGCTTTGGCTCACATTGGTTGTCCAAGTCCTGGACGAGCAACTGCATACACGTGAGGATCAGCCCGTTCAGCACATCAAGTTCCGAGGAGTAATCCAGGCTGGGCGAAGTAAATCATACCAGTCGGTGAAGCCAAAGATATCGAAATTAATTAGAAATAAATCATTTATTTTCAAGTATCGACAAATTTAACAAGTTATCGATTCGAATTTCGAAAGTTATCGAATGTTTACTTCGGTCATTCAAGATGAATACTGTAACAGTACATGTAGACTCTGTCCACAACGATTTTCTCAGTTCCACGACTTTTTTTTTTATCCCGAAGGGGTCCTCTGCCCATCCCATAGGGGTTTTCTACAATGATTTTTTTTTCTGGTTTCCTGAATTCGCTGTAGGAAGAGTTCGCCTGTACAGTATTGGCAAAATAACGCGCAGGAATTTGAGACAGTAATTCGAAGTTAGATTTAGAGCCTCCGAAAAAAGTTTCAGAATAATTCAGCATTTTGTGATACTGTACAAAAGGAAATATTATCTACTACTGATCTAATTTTTATAATTTTTTTTCTACAGGGAAGCAAAATTTCCCGAGTCGTCACAAAGGGTGATGGTATCAAACCTTAAATTTCAGGACGAACTCCCGATTCTCTTACATTATGGCCTATATTCCACACTGTGTTTTTTTCATGTACAATACCACATACTAAAATCCGGGACAAATCGTTGTCAAGACCGTATTTTTATTAGCTTCAAACTGAATTTCCAACGAAGTGATTTCCGTCAGATTTGAAAAGGATTTTAAAACTGCGCAAGAATTACGGCATCGTCACCTCATCCGGGAACTTATTTAATCTTTTGTGAGTAAATTCGCAAAAAAGTCATGAAAAATGTTTTTTCCGGGGCAATCCGTTTCCTGAACATTAATCACAAAGTTAAAAATATACTGAACTTTAATCATTAAAAAAAATGAAAGCAAAAACCTGCGGCGGTAAACGGGATCTAGTTTTTCCTTAAGCTTGATCTCCATTTGCTGACAGGTCTCCAAACAATAATCAGTAGTGGCGAGGACGCTACAAATCCGGCAAATCTCTTCTCGACTGAACTTCGCAACTTCAGTCGCGCCACCAGTAGAATCTTTCAGGAGGTTCGAAAAATTCTGGATGAGTCCTTGCGTGGACATTTCGCGGAAGTCCTTCGTTAAACTTGACATCGTAACGAGACTCGATGCCGTTGTTGCAGGTCGAGGAAGATTCGCTTGCAAAATCTTGTTTGCATAATCACGCAAGTGCTTTTGAAAAACTGCGCTGAGGGAAAGCAACGGCTGTCCACGGGTAAGCTGCGTGCACTGAACCTGTCGAAAAAATTATTAATACCTCATGCACGCTATTTTGCTTCCCATAGAAAAAAAAAATTGATAATACAAGTACCATGTCTTTTTAATTAAAAAACTGTATTAAAGAAACTTACCATGCATTTCTTGAAGAAAAGAAATAAATCCGCAGCGTTAGACAAGGTAAGCGAGCTTTCTTCGGATGTAGGACGCTTGCAAGGAAACCCTTGAGACTTGATGTCAATTTGAAATTGGTTGATTAGTTCAGTCAAATTCTTGTCTTGACCTTCGACGTACACGAATAAGAAGTTTTCAAAACATCCGCTGATCATTCGTGGAAAAGGAATCCTAGGTTGCTTCTCTTGTTTCACTGCTTCTTTCTGGAGATAAATCAAAAGCAAATAAAGTCAGTCGGTGGAACTGAAAAAAAAAAGAATTACTCGTCCTCAGCATCGTAAAAAATCGTTGGCACGTTGTAGAACACATTAGAAACTACACACACGCACGTTTGGCTGATATTTTCCCCTTCCTTTCTTCCTCACAAAAAATCAAAAATCTAAACTAAAAAAAAAAAAAAAAAAGACAAGCAAAAAATATTAAATTATAGTATCTTAACTGTCAAGATTACTTTAATCTTAAGATTACTTTTAGACAAGATGAAAGGTGAAAATAATGTCAGAATAAATAGTAAATACTACGACGGATGACGAACTAGAACTTGAGCCTGATGTGTTCATCGCCGCTTTTTCTCTGAAATTTTTTCGGAGATGGAACGCCAGAAAAATGACTCATACCTGTGAATCACAAGACACTTCACTTTCCTCTCCAAAAGGATTTTTGCCAGCTTCAGGTTCTTCGAAAGGGTTGCTAGCTGGTTCTGGTGAACCGAATCGCTTTTCCAAAAGTTGTTCGAACGCGATCGTTTTTTGAATGGCGAACAATAATAATTTAACGTCTATCTCCTGCTTGCGGTTTGACATCGCATTCTGTAAATGATTCCTCGTTGCCTCGCAAAAACCCACAGCCATGTGCTCGGAAACATTCCAGGACGGCGGAAAAATCCTGCCATACTGTTCTTCGAAGTCGAGCAAAAATTTCTTGAACCAGGCAAATCTGCAACGAACAACAAAAAAACAGGAAAAAATAGACCTACATATTTTGGGGTCTTTGTGATATACAGTAAGTTTGCAGGTGAATAAACTATACCTCCGATCGATTTTGTCCAGCCAGCCGACGTCTTGGTTTTCCCCGAATAAGTGTTTGTACTCTACCAACTGCCCTTCGACGACCCATTTTAGCAGTTCACTTTGTACCCTTGAGTCCAGATGACCGACAACCAGACACGCTTCGGCAAGTTGTCTGATTCCTGGGCGCTTCTTCTGATCTCCGCTGAATGCGTCCCTGAAATCTTGCTTTATCTGTCTCCCGAGCTTTTCCTTCACATCATTCAGGTCCTTGAACAAACTTTGTACCTGTTCGTGCGTAAAGTCAGTATGAAAAATCAAACACCTTCTTCTCAGATAATCTGCAATTTTTTCCATTCCGATTTCAATTCCAGTACTGTACTCTTAGATTTAAAAAAATAATGATGCAACTTCATCAACAATTTACCCCTACAACATTCTTCTCAAAATCACAACCAACGGGAGCAATTCTTCGCGGTACGGCTCGCCTAAATATTCGAAAACATGTACTACATACTGAGATTTTAAACTTTCGTAACAAGTTCGCAAGCTCAGAAAAATTTTCAAATTTTCTTTTTACTTTAAGGATGCCCTTTTCATGTGCTTCTCTTTAATTCAAGTACGTACTTCGGGGTTTATTCAGTAAAAATTGCATTCGCTGTTATGCTTTCGTCTTCGGTGAAACTTTTTAGAGGACACAAAATATTGACCAGATAATTTCCTGATAAAATTTTTCTTGAGCTCATGCAATTTTCGAAGAAAGGTTTGCGATCGGATTAATGCGAGTCGACTGGATTTCTTTCTAATGCAGCTTTATGATTATTTACAATTCCGGTTTGAGCAAACAGCATCAGAGAAATATTGTACGTAGTAAAGCATGACAGCTTTTTTTCATTCATACAACTCGGAAACATTCGGGAAAAAAGGGGATAAAATGAAGAAACAGTTACTTACCCGTGGAATGTCTTTATAGTTTTCGAAAGGTTCCAGGACATTTTGAACGCCGGACATGACTTTCGTTATTTCCAAGTATTTGCTCTGATCGGTGAGCGATTTGAGTTGATTGAGACCTCCAGAGAGCATGTTCAATCGATTCAGGGTCAAAATCGACGTGTTGAGATTGCGTTTGGCTCGATCGAAAGCCTTTATTTCGGCCGTTATGTGTTCCACCATTTCTTCAGATTCTCGGATTTGGGTCATGACAGAAGCAGTTTTCGTCATGAGTTCTTCAATGCCCGCAACTGCCTTGCTCGTCGTTTCCTCGCCGATTTTCCCGATATCGATTTGTTGTCGAACAACCTGAAATGAACAGAAAATTAGCTTGCCCTTCCTTGCATTCAATTCGTCGTCGATACCGAACCTAAAAAGAGCCTCACATTGAACAGATACATCTTCACGGGCGAAGGGATATCACATTAAAAGCAGAAACAAACAAGGTACACATAAAATGGTCTTTTCATAACTTCCGTACTTCAATTCAGATTTTAATTCAGTCGTCATTTTTGAGTCATCGAAATCAATATCGAAAATAGCAGCGCAGGTAGAAAATTAAGAAGTTGATACGTACTTCGGTTCCACAGATTGACTCGCTCTACAACGGAATTCAGGGGACCAGAAAAAAAATTGATGCACAGTATAGAGAATTTTGTTGCAGAGAACCCCCATCGGAAAAAATCGTTACAGGCAGAAAATCTTTGTAGGGAGAGTCTACCTGCATAATAAAAGGGCCGCTTTGGGATATTTGCGATGACAGTTTAACGAAGCTCGATCATTGCTTGAGGCAGTCTGGAAGAAAATTATCAGACGTGCTTTTACCAAAAACCCTTGTTTCCTATCAACAAACTCTTATTTTATGCATGGAAAATCTTTTCCAGGAATACCTCCAAGAACGGAGGACATTTGACCGTCGTTCAAGCATATTTCGGCCAAACTTGAAGAACAAACCTTCTGCAAACTGTCGTCATACGCAGCAATTTTATTTTCCAGCTCATCAATGACGTCGTCGATGTTGGCCAAGGATTGCTCGTTGAAGAAGTGTTCATTGATGAAACGAATCTCGTCGTAATCGTCCTCGGAGAAATCTGGCAGATGAACGGCTTCCGCGCGACGCGATGCCCCAGGGGCAGTGAAATCCAAGCCAGACATATCATCCGTTCTTGTCGACATCACAAACACACAATTCCTTCTTCCGAACACAAGCAATTTCCATGCAAAAGCAGAAAAAATTCTGACATGGACTCTGCGTGAAGATCATGTACAAGAGTAATAGGAAAATTACGCGGCGCGAAACGAAGAAAAAGAAAAGAAACTACATTAGCGAAACATTCATGGATTCAAAGCGGTCTTTCGAAAATAAATAATTCTGATATCACAGGATACTTTAATTTAAAACATGATCGGCGACGACATGAGGTTGGAATAAACGCGGCTGAAATTTTCATTTTTATTTTGAATACTTCGTCCAATTTATTATTTTTTTTCAAAATGTACCTTCACTGAAAGAAAAGAAAGAAGACAGGGTTTACATTTCGAACGGGTTCGAGCTTTAGCTGTAAGTACGCCAACACGGCATGTGACTCATTCAAGAACTTAGGATAGTGCTCATCATTCGACAATTGCATTTGACAAATCGCAAAAATCTTTCCACACAGCAATTGCGATATTTCAAAAAACAAATGCTTCCACATGCGGAATCGGGATCGATATTGCGTTGACCTCTCATCATTTCCGCCGTTGCTGAGACGTGGAAGACAGTTTAACCTTTCCGGGGAAATTTCGGGTCAAGTCGTGGTCTTTGACGCATTTCAACAGGTCTTTTTCTCGCTGCGACGCGGCTTTGTCGTGAAGGAAGATCCCGAGTGCCGTTTTGGTCGCCTTTCCGCGCTTCGCAGTACCGGGAGTCATTTTCAATTTGAATCTGGAAATATAGTATAAATTAATTCTAAATTCGAGGCTCCAAACAATATCATCTATGCAAAAAAGTAAAATTAAAATTAAAAAAAAAATCTACTTGGCAAGGTACGGAAAATATTCTTAGAATACTCTGCAAAAACAAATACCGTAAATTTACCCAATGTACTGATTGACTGAATCAAATTGCACTCAGAAAATGGTGTGTTTATACTCTTCAAGTACGCTTTTTAAAATTTGGCTCAGAGATGAAAAAATGGTCCTGACATGACATTTCACATCATAATATGGAATTCTTTTACAGGTTCAATTTTTTTCTATATTCTCACGATTAGTCACTTCAAATGAAGTATCAAACCTTTTGTTTGCAGAAGGAGATTTCATCAAACGAAGAGGTTTCTTTACTGATTAATTTGAAAGGCGCAGCTTGACGTAAAAATGAGTTTGAAATTTCAAGATCGCCTGTCCGAAGAAATATCTCATCGAAGTTTATTTACCTTCAATATCCCGCCAGACTGTTTCTTTCAACAAGATTTTTTTTACGCATGCAAAGTTTTATACTCACTTGTAATTTGAAAATACGGCGTACGGAGCAACCATGGGAAGCGCAAAGAGCAGCTCGTCTTCAGTCACTGGGCAACCAGTAAACGTATTCAACACATTCAAGTCATAGTCTCGTTTTTCTTCTTCCTCGTCATCATCGTCATCGTCTCGCTCTTCCTCAGCATTCTCAGCTTTTTTCTTACGCTTTTCCTGAGCTTCTTCCTGCTTCGCTGCTTGTTGCGCTGCACGTTCCGCTTTCCTCTGATCCTCGGCCTTTTGTTTCTCCGCTGCTATGGCTCTTTTGCCACGTTTTGTTTTCGGGTTTAGTTCCTTTTCGCCAATATGCTTTTGCAGGATTTCCATACGCAGCTGACGTTCCTCTTCGTCTTGGTCCTTGTATTTCTCTTTGATCTTTTTAAGCTTGGATTTCTGACCCCGCTTCAACTGCTTGGGTTGTTCCTTTTCTGAACACGGAGAATGATACAAGGTCGTCATGGCACAAACTCTCGACAAAAATGAAAAGTGTTCAGTACTGTATTCAACATTTAAGAGAGATCAAGATTAAATTTAATTGCAGGTTAATTTTGCCTCAACCTTTGATGTCTCCTATTGTTCGATTTTTCTATGAGAAAACAGTTGTCGCCGGAATTTCGCTTGGCTTCGTTCGATTGTATTTCATTATTCAGAGATAGCTTCAGATACAATTTAGGTAAGTTGGACTAATCTTTACCATCTTATGTTAGAGCTGGTTTAATTTCGGTCGGGTTGATGGCTCAACATGCTAGAAAACAAGGCCATGAAAAGAAATTGAAATATCAGACTGGAGAAATATTTAAATTCTGACACTTCAAGAAGAAATTTTACGATCTCATAGGACTTTTCACATTTATACCTCTGATCTAAGTCGAACCAACCCTAATCGACAAAATAAACGCTCTCGAAGACAATCAAAATAGCAAATTTACCCGTCCAACTACGGCCAAGTCAACAAATCGAGCTTTGCAAAGCAGATACTCACCAGCATTTGGTTGCGTCTTCGGTTCGATAATTTCTTTCGTTTCCGTCTTCACTTTTTGTTTTTGCTTTGGTTGTTTCTGTAAAGGTTTCAGTATGATTGGCTGATCGTCTCCCAGGAAAATCTTCACTTCGTTCTGAGCTTCTGCATCCATGGGCAAACCTTCAGTTTCGCTGGAAATTTTCGAATTTAAAGATTAAATGAACATGATTCGTACAAATGCAATGATTAGCATGGATGCCATTTCAATGCGAGATAATTTAACGCGGATTTCTTTCGCCAATGTATGTGCAATTATTTGCTCTTTCATTTTAAATCGAAAAAAATCACAGGAATAAAAAAAAGTCTATTTCATTACAGAACCACTTATATGCGCCGTGAGAACATAATGGACTAATAGAGGCACACCTTTTTGCAAGGACGGTGTTTCGAAAATTAGAGAGTTGCTCGCTCTTTGTAAAAATGTGCTTCTCAATCTTTGTTCTTGATTACCATTTATTTCATCTTTTCTCGACAATCTTGAATGATAAAAAAATAAGTTCTTAACAAAACACAAAAATCAGCTTGAATGGCATTCTGGTTGAAGAAAATGTGCGTATACTGAATTCCGCCCGGATCCTCGAAAATAAACGTGTTTTTTCTGAATTTTCATCTATATATTTTTGGGAAGAACTAATTAGAACAGCTAAGTTATGAAAAGTTTATAAACATACGAAATATTATTCCTCCAAGGCTTTGAAAACACAGAAAAACTCACAGCGTGCTTCCAACAACGCGAACTTTGGTATCGGGAAATTCCACAGGAACTGTCGATTTTTCGTTAACCTTCGCAGCATCAATTTCCTCATTCTCGATGCCTCCATCTTCTTCTTCTTCTTTTGAAGAAGAATTATCTACATCGTCTGTTTGAGTTTCAACTTCAGCTTCTGCAATAAGTGCTTCCAATTTATCGACGCCACGAGCAATTTCTTCCCCAGATGATTCCGGAGGTGCTTCGACTTTAGCGTTCCCTTCTTCATCGTCGTCCATATCGTCCATTGGGATGTCCACATCATCTGTATTGCCGTCAATATCAACTCCCATTGCGATGGACTCAGCCAGTCTTTCCGCTTCTTCGTCCGCAGTGCGAACACGGCGTTCGTCTTTGTGTCTGAGAAATTACGAAAAAAACTGTTCAGCTTAGACAAAAACAAAAAAATCTTATTTTTACACATCAGATGAGTCAAATCATTAAAAACCAGATAAAATCAATAAACCAGTTAAGTGCTTACAAGTCTCGATTCGCGGAGATGTCAAAAAATTTTCGGGATAAAACAGTCTTTTAAACAAAGATCACTTTTGGATTCAACGTAACAACAGCACATAAGGTTCATGACCAACCATTATTCGATACTTCCACATATCCGGTCATTTCGAGACTGGACCAATAGACCGAATACGCATTCCAATTCAAAATTATTTCAGAAAAGCTGAGTACAGAATAATTGAGCGTGTGAATGCAGCTAGAAACGAAGACGAACATAAAAGCACTAACCTGGAGACAGAACTTTCTTCAAGTTTGAACAGAAATCCGAAGCCCATAATTAGATGAGACGGCATAAGAACGTTTTTCTTTCCTCGTATCATGAAACTTCCAGTTGTGAGATATTCACCAGTCGGCGCAGTTTTGGTCACTTGATTCGCATTCACCCACCAGGCATTTGTGATCACTTTTGCATCCCAAGCAGAACTGAAAGAGGAGTTTTCAAAAATGTACAAAACTTGAAACTTCAATTTAAAAATATTTCAAGGACAGCGGGACTGATCAAAGTAATAATCGAGAAGAGTAGAGCGGACAAATATCTAAAATATTTGACGCACAGGAGATTATGAAAAAAGCCTCCGGAAAGAGGGAAATTCAATAAAATCAGGATAAATCGCCATTCCCAAGAATTAAACGAGAAATTTCGTGCAACTCAACCTGTAACATATGGCCATTGTTCCTGCTTCATTGAGCGTCTTCGGGGGCACTGGATCATCGCTAGGATTTTTAATGACAACGGATGATGCACCGTGAAGATCTGCATGTACATATATGTCGTTTTGTCGAAGGTACCGTTTCACGATGAGCTCATTCTGCTGTTGATCTCTTCCTCCAATAACTTTAAAAAAAAAACAGCAAAACAATGAAGATTAATGTTCTTCAAAGACTAGTGTAAAAGAGCGCTCACCAAGGTAATTTTCAGACGAGATGAACCAATAAAATTTTTCAAACCACAATGGCTTCCTGGCTTTGTTGACTGACGCAATCGCCTGGGATTCCTTCAAGGCTTCTTTGGTTTTCCTTTGCGCAGATTTAAAAGCTTTGTCGGTTGACTCAATCGTTTTCTGCTCCTTCATTGCCGCATGACGCTTTTGGTCATAATACCTGCAAGCATGAGTTCAGAAAATAAAATTTCTGTTTTCTCTCAAAAATAGAACCTAGCAAAATTCCCTAGTGAAAATTCTACCCCCCATCAGAAGATTATCGGAATAAAATAAGATCCCCAAAATTTGAGCTCTCTAAAGTTTAATATGATGATATTGCAGAACTTTGTGAAGATTACCGAAAAATAAATTCCCTGCACCATTAGGTCCAGTGAAATCTGACTCAACAAGCTCATATTTCGTGTTAAAAATTGAAAATACGGGTGAATAAAATACACTGAACAACTGTATTCATTTGAATAAACATGCCATAAACTTTACACTGGGGCCTTGGGCAATAAACATCCTAACCAACGAATGTTCTGCATAACAAACCCAGGTTCTGACGCCATTTTCCTTGAGCAACGAATTTGACTAGAGGAACGAAGCTCAAATCATGCTGTAAACCAAGAGAAAATCGACAAAATGTTTGTCTTTGAAAATTATAGAAATCGAGAGAATCTTAAATTTTAATAATCCTGTATATTAACAAATGGACAAACAAAAATCGGAATAAAAAATTAAATTCAACGGGGAAAATCAGGCGGGAATTTTAATTTATTTGATGCTTTTAATTTTGCATGCTTCCAATAATTTTCAATAAAAACTGATCAGAAAGAAATGTTGTCTTTGCTTTCTTGTCAGTTCCTGAATCTTTGTTACTCGTTTCTTTTTATTCCACCTTCATAATTTTTTTGTTCGTTCTGGAACCATTTAAAAAAATTTAAACAGGTTGCTACGCGAAATTGTGAATTATTGTACAAAAAGGATGTCTTGAGGAAAAACCAACCACCGGAACACATTATGTTTGTTCCTCAAAGTTCCACTGTACATTAAAATGTATTCAACAGAAAATATCCTGATTCCGCTTCTACATATTTATATCTACAGTATTTATTTGAGTTATAGGATGAAGAGCACAGGAATACTGACCGTCGAGCATTTGCATATGCGCTAAGGTTGATATCGATGTCCACAAGAACAGCACCTTCGCTGGAACCTTTACTTGCACCACCGTCTGATTGTTTGCTTTTGTCCTTATTGCCCTTTTCTTTCGATTTCTGCTTCAGTTTTACTTTTCCTTTCTTTTTCGTGGCTTTATCGGACACGGAATCAGCTGGCTGTTGCTTCTCGGTATCTGATTTTTCAGCATTATCATCTTCATCCCTTTGAGAAGCCTCTTTCTCATTTTCGAGGAACTCTTCATTTTCTTCGTCTTTGATAGGTAATTTTGGCTTATTCGCTTCTGGAAACATAAAAGATAATACTGGAAATTCCTTCTGTAGACAGTTAATTGAAATGAAATTTTAAAACGTTCGAGAAGAATGAACTTAGACAAGAAATTACGAAGATAGTCAAGAATAATCTTTTTTTCGAACTCATACTGATACGTATTCGATCAACACAAAATTGTAAAGCTGATTTGGCAATATAGATGAGGAGTCCTTAGTTGCAAATTTATTCAAGTAAAGAATGAATAAAATTTGGAAGTTGTTGAATTTATTTATAATGCATTTTTTTTATGATTCACTGGGTTTCAATTTGGTACAGTACTTTATGTGAGGTCAACGTTGTTGGTCAACATACGAAAAAGAAAAAATCCGAAGGGCTTACAGTATTTTTTTTAAGTAGTGTAATTTAATACAGTTCTTCATTGGGAGGACGACTGAACTCACCTTGGGTTGCAATATCATACGGATCACGCAATGCCATTGTGAAATGATTTATTTCCAATTTCAGTTGCCGAATGGAACCAGCAATCGGATCTCCTTTATCCTGGGCATCCTTCACCATTTGACTAATTTCGGACCAACTCAACTGATTCGCAATCGCTGACCTGAGAACTAACAAAGCTTTCTCCACCAAATCCAAGTTGAATTGAATCATTTCCCCGCGACGTTTGTCCGTTTCCTGCGTTTCTTGAAGTCCGGCGAGCCGATTTTCTCTGTCTTTCAACACATTTTCCAACTTCTTCATGGCGAGTTTTTCGTGCTGGACGACTTTCAGGTCAAGTTTTTGATTCTCGAGCTTGGAATAAAATTCGTCCACAGCGGCCGAAAAATTAGGAAATTCCAGGAATGGAGCAGAGTCGAATTGAATATATTTGTGCGGGTGGTACTCTGCATAAGTGAAAAAATCTTCTGATTCTCCCGAGGCGTCAGGTTTCAGTCGTGTTTCTTTCTTTTGTATTATATAACCATTGAAAGAAGATGCTCGACAGAGCTCCAAGGCAGCTTTCATGGCTTCTAAAACTCGCTGGGCATTTTCCGGATGAATATAACCCTGCAACAGAAAAAAATTAATGAATATCAAGTGATACAGAATGATTCATCAGCTAATGAATGCGAAAGCCAAGGAATATTTCAGTGTCACGAACATACGAAGGTCGTCCCACTTCCGCGCGTCCTTCGTGACTTATGGAGTAGGTATGACAGTAAAAAATCATTTATGATTTAGCCCATGATGTTGTAAGGCTCTGGGATTTCTTTCGGATTTTTAAAAGCATTTTTTCAATTTACTGCATGATGATGCGTAAAAACTTTCCAGTTTTGGCCGGAGTGCGCCACCCATGTCACTGGGTGCTAAAAATTTTCCTAAAAAGCTACTTAAAATGCAGAAAAGAGAATGGCTAAAATTTAAAAAAAAAATATTTTTATTCTTTAGCTGGCCTCAAAATTGTTAGCATCATGCAACATGGGTGAAGAACTCTGGCTGTAACTGTAACGTTTGTACCCATCATCATGCAGTATATTGAAAATGTTTTTCAAAATCTGAAAAATTCCAAGAGATTAAAACTTTGTGGCTAAATCATATTCAAGCAATGGGGATAACATCAACCCACATGACTACTCGATAAGTTAACGTTGTCGTGCGTCTAAGAGCTCGTGATCACGCGAATAAATTACAATATTACTGTTGAAGCGTATGAAACGACACGGAAAAAAAGCGACCGGGACGACGATTTAAAATGTGACGGCCCACACACGCGTAGGCCGTCGCAAAACTTCACGCAAAATTTACCTTTCCAATCGCAGCGTTCGACGGGAAACCAGCTTCCAGTAAACAATGCTCAATCAAAGCAGGACCGAAGTCTAGTCGCGGGTTCAACAATTTTTTCAAATTATCGTTGGGCTTCGCCTTTGACACGGCATCTTCCCAAGAGGTAGCGTCGAGCATTCGATAATCCAGGCGAGCATTTTCGTGAGGATATTTTTCTCCGACGGCGATCCGTCGTTCTTCGTTATCCGTTCGAGGTCGAAGAAGGTTGAGTATCACGTACTCATGGTCAGTGAGGATCATGTTTCCTCGGTCGTAGAGTTCCACGATAAGATGATAACTCGCCTGCGGAAGAACAATTCAACATCTCGATTCTACATATACTCACGAAGATTGAATAAGCGAATATTAGACGCCAGAAATTCTGAAACTAATTTAAAATGTCATCACTCATGCAATTTTTTAAACCCCTGACATATCGTCACTTGCTGCAAAGTAGTGTATGCACGAAGTTATTTTCGTTGTTCAACATTATCAATAAGGTAGAGAAGATAATGGCTGAAGCAAAAAAAAATTACATTTTTAAGCTGGCCCGAAATTTTTTTAGCCCCTGTGACATGGTTAGAGAACTCAGGCCATAACTGGAAAGTTTCCGATTTTCATCATTCATAAACAGGAAATTTTCTTTAAAAATCCGGAGAAAATCCCAAGAAATTACATTACAGACTAAATCATTATTTTCTACAGTCATATCATCATATTTACTCTATAAATAGCCAAGGTGGGACAAACCTCGTATCAAATGAAGTTTTACGAGTTTTCCCCCCAAATTTCGCGTTAAAAATAACCGACGCCAAACGTGTTGAGGAAAAACAAAAATAATCCGCGAACTTCATCAAAAATTCCTGCGATATTCACCTCACCAGAGCCGAACTGGAGATCAACGATTCTATCGACCCCCAGCTGAGTCAACGATTCCAGCCGCTTGTTTTTTATGTGTTTCCGCATTTTCATAGCGAAGCTGGACGGAGCTGGTTGTTTCGGCCATTCGTAGTTGGTGCAATGAATTCTGTTCCCGGATTCCAGCAACAGAACGGCTTTCTCTTCCGTTCGCTGGAGTCGAATCAAGTACGTTTTCCAGTCAATGTCATAAATTTGATTAACCCGCATCCCGATGATTCTGTGGATGTTCAATTGGAATTTCATGAATCGCTCCGAACCTTCAGAATGGACAAAATTTCCTGAAATGAATGATCCTGTCCTACTTACTTATCTTGCAGTTCCTTGCACATGGCAACCAAATCAACCGTTCCAAATCTGTTCTTCATCACGAACTTTCTTCACAAATCTATTCGGAATATACAATCGAAATTCTTCAAACGTGCTTCTAATCTTCTGAGAGTTTCTCGGTTTTGAACACCGACAAGCAATTATTTGATTCGTTGAGATTTCCGGTTTTCAATTCAGATAATGTATTTATATTGACAGAAATTGCGCGTCGGTGTCCATGCTGCGCAAAAAGGAAATAAAAAGAAATATGCAGTAACAGAAAGAATCGTCGGTTCTATTGAACGTCTCCACAGCATTTCTTCAGGAAATATTTCGCCAGGAGAATGCCTTGACTTTCAAAAAGGTCATCAAAAACATTCCGCAAAAAAAGATAATTTTGAAAAAAATTCGACTCAAAATTTGTCAACCAAGGCAAGGATATGTTTTTGTTCCAGCTCCTTCTCGGGATTATTTTCATTCTCGCCAATATTTGCGGCCATTTCTGGAAAATAACAGGGACTTTTATTATGATTCAACAAAATTTCGGCCAATCTAAACAAATTACCTCTGAGAATGCTGCGTATTTCTTTGACTGATGCACCACGCAAGCTGAGCAAGTCGATCAAACGTTGCTTCACCTGCGGAGGACAACCTGCACAAACTTCGACCATTAGCAAATCGATTTGCTGAAGCATAAAAAGGCCACCGGAAAGCCGTTGCAGATAAAAATCGTCATCTTCTTCAGGAGTGGGTTCTTCTCCTCGAGCGATGATTCCCTGTGCGAAATAGAAATTATTCAGACTTACGCCAAAAATTTAACTGAGAAACGAGTTTTTTTAAAGTAAACTTTATATACGAGGAAGCTCATTTAAATCAAGTTCTTCGTGTATTCGACTCTGAACCCAAAGCTTTAAATTCAAACCATCGTGAAATCAATGACGACAATGCATCTACAGCTATTACAAAAATTACAGAAAAAAATCTGACCTTTCTTTCGCCCTCGATTCGGACGTCCGTTCGACCGACCTTTTCCATGTACTTGAAATGCAACTCTGCCAGACGCTCCAATTTTTCTGAGTCGTTTTCCGCAAACTTCGCCAAGAAACGCTGACGTTGAGATCCTCGACAATGCTTTGCCAGAGCAGTAACGATGGACACGATGTGTTCCTCATGTTGCGATGCAGGCGCGCTTCGCTTACTATACCTAAATCAGCCGATTGAAGATTCCATTCAAGCAAAGCCTTTCATACAAATAATCTTCAGATTAATTGAAGCTGCTCACATTTTTGAGCTGAACTAAAACCGCAATCCACTGATATTTGTTCAAAATAATCTTTAAATTTGACGAAAATTTCCAAGACTGGATACACGGTAAACTGAATATCCTTTTTTCTCATTCGAACCTCGGAACTTGCGAATGATCGTGTCATGAATATTTTTACGTACCTTTTCGGAGTTTTCATGAAGAGGGGAAAAATAGTCCTCAGTCCGAGAATTTCAACAAATTTGGCACAACTGTCGGCCGCACTGCCGAACTCGTGGGAGTCCCCAGGCCCGGAGGTCAAGGCATGACTAAGAACCCGAAGAGCCCCACTTCGACTGTATTTCTTTTCGCGCAACATGAGATTCATCAGCTGAAGACCCTCGGCACGGAGGAACCGATCGCGATTTGGCGAGAACATCAGATAGGAACAAACACAGTCAAACAGATTTTCCATCATCTCAGTTTCTTCAGCGGACGACGGATCATGTCGCTTGTAATACTGAAAAAAAAAGATAATTTTGTTGTCAAAAATGAATCGCAATTCTCAGCTCCAAAAAATGCGGCTTACAGCGAGCTGCTGTAGGAGGATGTCAATACCATCAAGGTCGCCCAAAGTTTTCCTGTTCTTGTTGCTCGATTGCAACAAAATCGAGAGAATTTCCGCACAATACAATTTGGTACCGTCGAAAACGGGAGAACCTTTCGCTCCCTTTAGTCTTTTCAGAATCCAAACCATCAGGCCCTGAGAAACAGCGTCTTCGCTGACTACGTCACCTCGAAAATCAATCAAGTGCTCAATCGTTGCTGAAAAAAACCAACGCAGGAACAATAGGTTCACATAAATGCAATCGAGTTCATCAGAAATTCAGACGGAACATGTCAATTCAGTACTTCAGAATCCTTCCAAAAAACTTCGAGGCGATTATTCTGAAACAGGCTAGAAATTGAGTAGTACAAAGTAAAAATTCAATCGCTCACACATTTTGGTATTATACGATCAACTATTATGACTTTTATTCATTTCAAGAAGGACTTCGATACACAGATTCGATTTTGTTCTTGCAAAAATACAAACGCCCCACACTATGGACTATTTCGGAATAAGCTGGATTATATAAAAAATCAAGATGGATTTCAAGAGACACGAAAATCTCACCCAGGGAATTTTGAACGCCATCTGCTTCTTCCTTCAGATTTTCATCTAACCTCTCGAGGTTCGAGACTAGTACACCACATATCTGCTGACGCAACTGACGAAGAACAAAAACAATCGTATTTTTTCATTTACTGCTTCTCGGGAAGAAAGGCATTCAAGACGTTACCAAGGCGTCGATTAAAACGTCAGCACCCTCTTTGCTCTCGTTGAGAGTATCCACGTCCGTCAGTTCCTGAATCAAGTTAATGACTGCTGTTGAAATGTCGGTATTCTCGTGGGGAATCAAGCTGACCAGGGACGTTATTGCATTCGTTTCGACAAGAATATGATACAGTTCCGGTGCAGTGGCAACAATATGAAGACTTTGAATAGCATCGTTGAGGTCTACTTCAGACTCCATGAACCTATAAACGTAAAAAAGCACAATATTCATCAATGCAGAACGTAAGTCAAGCTTCTAACAGAACGTGCAGAATAATAAAATAATTTCATTAAACAATTAAAAGGCTCACTTTTCCGGATTATCTGGGAACTTCATGCGCATTTCCTGATTTTTCAAACTCTTTTTCTCGTAAGTCAGGATCAAACGCTTCAGAGAGGTGTCATCCAACTGCTCTACCTGTGAATTTTCAAGAAAAACAATTTACTATACTCCGCTCGTTTGGAATCCAACTGAGACTATTGGAATCATAATTAAAGATACTCATGATCATTAAATTGTGTATGTCAAAATATTGCATCTCCAAGAAGTCCCTGTGAAGTGAAAAATTTGTAATGGCAATTGAGTCTTGCGCATTCTGTTTCATACAAGACTTACACGTTTATACCCTCATACTCAATTTAGAATTTACTCCCAAGAGAAAACGGAACATTGTTCGGATAACTAAACTTCAATCAGAAATGTAATCCAACTGTATCTTCTGTTCAACAACTTCTTGAATAACAACAATATTTTCATGAAACGTTTAGAAGCTAAAATTGAAGACACTGAACATTTTCAATTAAAAAATCTGTAGAAAGCTTTTTTCTTTTTCCGAAAATAATTCCATGAGAGGACTCCAACAAAAATCGTTCAATACTTTATGCTCAAGATTTTTCATCGACACGCGCTGAATTCCTTTTATCCCGCTGTCATTTTATCGTGCTTAGGATTCTGACGCTATCGACCTGATGAAGGGTTCAATTAATCCTCCCTTTGTTCAATGACGAGCACGATTATAAAATTTCAGAAGCATTTGACAAACTACAAACCTCAGGTGCATCTTTCTCCAGCAATTCCATCAATTTTTCGGCGTCCGAAGCTCCTTGGGCTTCCGTAGACCTTTCATCCCGTACTTCAACGATCTCCGGTTGGTAGTCTTTGCCTCCTTCACGTTTCAAAACGGAAGTCTGGATCTTGGCTCGCTTTTTCTGTCGGAATTCCTCTTCGAGATCATTTTCGCGGCTCCTAGACGCTGGCGTGTGCTTCGGAGTAACATCCGGCTGCGAAGCAAGCAATCCGAGAAGGAGAAATCTAATTAAATGCACAGACACGTGTTTTCGAGGAAGCGAAATACACTACTGAATAACTCCGCGAAAGCTCACGCGCTCTTGATGAAACATATTCCAGGTCATGGTTTCGAGGTTGGTACTGAATTTCAACGACTCAAGTCCCGATTCAATTTCTGTTTTTTTTTTTTCTTCAATACTATACTTCAGTTACCGGACATACTTAATTTTTGAATTCGTGAAATCGATACAGGTGCACTCTCCCTACAACGAAATTCAGGGGGCCAGAAAAAAATTCGTCGCACAGAGAATTTTGTTGTAGAGAACCCTCATAAGATCGGCAGAAACCACTACGGGACCCTAAAAAAATAGTTGAACCCAGAAAATTGTTACAGACAAAAATCGTAGGAAGTTAAAAGTTTGCCTGTATTATCATTGATTCGCTTCTACGTACCCCATAAGATGGCCAAAAATCATAATATTGTACAGCCTCTCAGGAACCCACTGAACATATTCTTCTACAATTGAGAATTTACTAGAAGCATGATTTGAAATAATGCAACCATGACCAGGACCATTTCCTATGCGAATCCGACGAAGCATTTGGCAACATTTTATCACTTCTCAATATTTTATTCTGAAAGACATAAAACAGTTTGAAAAAGCTCATTGCCAGAATGATCGCGCTCGAAAAAAAAATAAAGTGAGCCTTATTTTGAAGCCTGCCGTTTTATGCCTCGTATTTCGATAAGACATTCCAATAAAAAAAGGCACCTTTAGTCCATCATGCAACATGGAGTTGACATATACTGTACTGTACTGTACTGTACTGTGAACTAAATAACAGTGCATTTTTTTTTCAAGTTTCTTCACTTTGAGAAATCGAAAAGGATCATACGCGTTTCAAATAATTAATGACGTCCCACATTCCCGTGGAATATAGCATCATAAATCGAATGTGCACTCCAAAGGTATTCCTTTTAATGGCCTATTTCGGAATTTATTCCAGCATGCATGATCAAACCGTTCATAAAGTAACAATAAAGTTACTCGATAGAAAGTCTTTCATTACTTGCGTTAAGATCCAACATGCTGGGCATCATTTCTCTTTGTTGATACCTGACCTTCCTGCTTTGATTTATCATCACCACGGACACGAAGAAAGGTTTACTCTTTTATGTTTTAATTCCCAAATGCCAGTGGATCGCTTGAGTGGCTGGTTTTTTCCCCATCGATGACCATTTGTAAGCGTAAATCATCAATAGCGCACAACAGGCTTCGGTGTCTTCGTGCAAGACAGGTTCATTTGATGTAGACAGGTCTTTCATCATGCAAATAAATTGTTATCTTCGATGCAAAACGTGTACTACAGTAGTTTCATCAAAAACTGACGCAGAAAAACGTCCAAAACATTTCCGTAAGTAGAATAAAAATGAAGATGGTAGTGGTGGAAATTATATGCTTCGTTTAAATAAAAAAATAAAACTTTCATGAAACATAATAGTGAAAAAATATTAAATGAACAAAAAAATCAGTCAATCAAGTTTTGCACAGAGGAATATTGCATACGGAGAACATTCAGGATTAACTAAAAAAGTGGGAAGTTAATCTGAAAGAATGGAGCGTTTCTTCAAATTCGAAAAGACGTTTATGCAATTCATAACGATTCAATGAAATACAACTATTTCAAATTCCGTACCCAGCTCGGAAAGCGGTTTTCGTTCATTTCGGAAAAACGTGTTTGGCAAGAAATCCTATGCACTTTAAATACTGTACATTACAAGTTGGATCATCTTGAATCATAAAATTAGATGAACAGAAAAGAGAAAAGCGGTCAAAATAATGTCAGTGAGTCACTTCAATTTTCTTTGGGCCTCTAAACATTGAGAATAATGGCCAGGATTTTGCGGGATTGCTGACAATAATTATTTCAAGTCATTGTCGGATGATTTTTTTCGGTTTTCAGATTTTCTTGGATAGATAATGAGTTTTTCGACCCGAATACCATTGGATATGATACAGTATTTAAAATCCGAACATGATCAAGAGTTTGAGGACGGATCGGCCAATTTCGAACTGGCAATCAGCAATACACAAATACATTTCAAATAATGTGAAGTTGCGTCTAACCTTAGCATTGAAAGAAAGTTCTATCAAATTTATTATGAATTTGATCCAAATACTGTAATGACTGAACACATTATAGCCATTTGAATAACCAAGCATTAAAAATAGTCAGCACAGAAGCAAGACAAGTTCATTCAAACGGAAATTCAGGTACTGCACCGAGAAAAACTGGATGCTGCGAAGTCGATTTCAGGCATTTTCACGCTGAATGGTATGCTTTTCTCGTTCTTTTTTTTCAATCGTTGATCAGAAAATTGTTCAAAAATCGTTCGAGTTATCTCATGAAGTGTAAAAAGGACTCGAAAACTAGGTTCAACAATTCTTCATCGAAAGAAGAATCCCGCATGAACCAAATCTCATCCAATCGGTTTCCCCATTCGACACCAAGGTAGGCGCCCAACGTCGGACATAAATCAAACATCCCGTCCGCCAATATTTCCCCCTCACTAGGTTGAGACAAGAGTCAATTTGAATTGTGGCGCAATGAGGATGGAATGTTCATCTTTGGAGGACAAGGAATTTAAAAAGAAAACTGATCGTTTCACCCTCGAGCTGACGAACGTAGAGAACAAAGCATATTTTCTTATTATTATTCCAAACCCCCTCCCCACCCCATGCGTCAATTCGCCATCTCCAGCGCATGTCTCATATACCTGATTCCTTTACGTGATTAATTCACTGGGGGGGGGGGGGGGGGGGGGA